AATCAAGAAAAAATGAAACACAAGTTAGGCCATGATCTTCACAACTGTGCTGCAGTTTAAATAATTGCAGAGAAGAAACCTGAAAAAATTCAGACTTTAGTGGTACTTGAACCTCTGCCTCCCAGATAATCCAGATAATAGCTGGGCGCTTAACCACCTTCTGAACTACATTAGCCACACCTTGGGAATGAGGCACATTTCAGTCTGTCATTAATTTAATGCAGTTAAATGCAATTTAACAGAGTTAACTTCAAAGAGCATCAGCATTATCTAGTAGTCAGTGGTTTTTGCATATGTACATGTGTTGGATTTCCATGAGCTCTTTATTTGAAGCATTCTTGTATGTGCTTTGTTTGAGCATGAACTTGCAGCATTGTTTAGAGAGGCAGCTCATGAATTCATCCAGGCAGTTTTCCTACCCCCTTTCCTCCCTCTTTCCACTGTTTATTAAGTGTGACAGGTACCTGTTTCCCTTTCCTGCATGGGGGCTCCCAGCTGTGTTGCCAGGATTTGCCAGCTATGGGAGCAGTCTCCATCTAGGAGCTGGCTGCCAATAATGGAAGCTCCTGGGTGTCTTAAGCACCCAACCTCCACTTAGCAATGCAGTTGTTAACCTAGGTTGTGTTGTTCAAAGCTGGGTTAAGATAACCCAGGGTTAGTGTGAAATCTGATTTCAGATCTGATAGCGTTAAAAGAAAATTCAATCGAATTCTTTTTGTCTAGAATATGATTATTTGATGCTCTAAAAATAAGACAGGAAATTATCCCAAAAAAGCTTTTGAATAAAGGAATAAAGAAACCCAGATTGAAATTTAACCTTGGATTAGCACTAAACGGCCTTCAAACAACTGGGCCCTGCATTTTAATTGTTTCAAATGACTAAAACCCAATCCAACTGCAACAGTTTATAATCTGCTGGTCACACCCAAATGAAGAGATGTCTATTCCTCTTAAGCTGAAAGCACTGTCAATCTCCATCCTGTCCACATTCAGGTTATAAGAATCTTGACTTCGGGCTTTCAGTATGCACAAAGAATATTACTGACATGAAAATAAAGTCTTGGAGTACAAAAGAGGACTCTGGATAAAATTTTGAATCCTTCGTATGGGTTGTTACATGTATATGTATACACCTCAATCGATGGTTTAACATATAATATGCGTTGATATTTTGCTTCGTTTGCGTTTCTATAGGCTCTTCGGTGAAACCCAATTAATATAAAAGCACACTTGTGACCACATAAGTCAGAGAAGTACATCTATAATAATCTCTTAACTGTGACCACGACAGAAGGATTTATCTACAAAAGGAACGCTTCATAAATGATGATTTGTTCATATAAAACTAGATATTTTGAATCAAACTTGAAATGCGTGCGCCATACTCTTAATATGCGTGCGCCAGACAATCACATACCAGGCTGTCAACACAACTTACTTGTCTAAAATGAAGTAGATATCAAATCCACCAAGGCATCTTTGCTGGGAAGAAACAAGTGTAGCGCCGATCCATGCTTGAAGCAAAGCAACTAGGAGAAAATTATGTCGAAAAACCGACATGATTTGCATCCACTTCAATTGCTTTCCAGTCTGATGGGCGCTAATTCGAAGACAGTTTTAAGTTCTAGTTCATTCCTTATGACATCTGAGCGCCACAGTCAGAGGATTGTGCAGAAGACTGTACAACACTAGTGACACATATACATCGATGCACAACGAAAAAATCTTCTTAATGTAACGCCAAAATGCTTGATTCCGGTGCACGTAAACAGAGTGTTGATACAAATCTGCTAAAACAACTCTACTTCCGTTCGATGCTTTGCCACCTGGCTTCACTCGTTGGCCGCGCTGAAGCACAAGCTCCTTTTATTAGCGCGCTCTATTCTGGCAAAAAAGGAATAAAGTTAAATATATTATATATGGTTTCTAGAAACACTGCGATATCTTTTTTAAGAAAAACATCTTTTAAAAGCTCGCAATTCTTTTGCTTACTTTCCCTTTGACTAGACTAACTCTCGCCCCTACCCTCCCTCAGCGATAAACCTCTACTCACCGCACCGGAAATCGCGGGGACTGTGCCACAAAGAGTCAGGTGGAGTTTCCGATCAACAAATTATTTCGGATCAGTATAATTAGTAGTTTTTGCCAAGCAATTTTGTGTTCTTCCTTTTTGGGTAAAACATTTTTCTGCCGCTTCCGCACCCTCGCTGCGCACTAAAAATGATTTCTTCAGCGGAAAAACTGAAACTTACTGGGCAGAAAAACGGAAAATCTGGAAATGATGATTGAGAATATTTCGGTATCGCTGCTATATTGTAAGGAAGTGCTATAACCGTAAATCATGGGTTTACTATTCCTTTATTGTTCTTTGTGCCTATTGTCCCAATCAAAAGTGTCGAGAGGTTCGGCATTGAGAGCTTCTTTGCCTTAGAAGATGAAAATGAATGGACGAATACTTTTTCGATCCTGCATATTTCTTAGTTAGTCCGTGAAAAGTACTTGGACTGGTCGAAGCTTAAGTCATCTTAAAGCTTTAATCGTCCGGACGATAGTTTCTCAGCTGAGTTATCGACAAAGGAGCTGAGCTGAAACGAAATGAGTGATAATGTAAATTGGTCACCGTGGGGAATTTCTAAAGCTGACGTTTAAGTAAGTAAGCAAGTAAACACTCTATTTATAGAGGATAGCACTTCATAGCCAAAAGGCCAATAAACCTGCGGCCCTCATACAATACGTATGATAATACTGATACAAATATAGATATCATTAAGTATACTAAGGGCATACTAAGTTATAATTTGCATACCTAGTGCTATGAGAGTGAAGATAATTATTACGTGTTAAAGGCGAACAATCTACGCAGGCGATTCTCCCTGTAGTACCTTAAATGCAATTAGACATTTAGAAATTTTAGCCTCCTCGTAAAAAGGTAACCAACTTAAATCATCAAAAAATCTGACAGAAGAGGCCTTAGAATCAGCATCCATAATAAGTCTAGTTGCACGTTTCTGTAATTTCAGCACTCTACCTAAAAGGTTATTTTCACAATTGGTCCAAACTGACAGCTACATAATTTCCAGCCTTAGCCCATCTTCCGATCCACTCTGACGAAGCACTAACCCTCGATGCGTCAGCTTTATGAACTCTTCAGTGGAAGGGAGCAGCGGGTTGGGAGCCCGGGAGAAAAGGGGGAAGGAAAGGGTATGAAGCAGGAGCAGAAATTTAAAAGGCACTCGTTTGTTTTTATTATTGCTTTTGATCCATCACATACTTTCGCTCGCGCGTGGTTGGTCTTAACTCATCACATGACCGAATATCCCCAGTTTAACCTAGGCGATATTCGAGGGTACCACACAAATGAAGGAAAAATTTGTTTGTTCATAACGTCGTACCATAGAACACTCAAAAGAAAACGTCCCGCGCAGTGTTCGTACACAATTTTTCACGCGCATTGCAAAATAGTTGAAGGATAATTAACACAATAGCCTCTATTCCGCACGAAAGCACGGTCGTATATTTGTCTTTGGACTTTTTCTGTTTCTCAAAAATGAGTTTTCCTCGAGCTTCGCTCTCGGAAAAGCGTCCACATCTTGCAACATATAATGTCCACGGACATGAGCCCATTAATTCTCGAAGTAATGGACTCCTGCCGCGGACAAATATCCGTGCATATGTTCGCGCCAAATCATCGGAGGCTATCGTTTATTTATCATTCAGTCAGAAACCAATACCAAGCAAATTTTCTTGCCTCCCATTAAACGTCTCGCGAGGCGTAAAATAATATCGTTCCCTACCGATAACACTAGAGATGGGGAAAATGAACAATGCTTACCTACTAATGCATTTCTTACTAAAATTACCCTACGAAAGATGCGGAAAATGGCATTACTGAAACCGACGGATCAAGACCAATCACGACCAACTCACGCCATTTGAATCTTACAGTCAGAACTGGCAATCAGTTAATACCAACCGGACTTAGAATATTCGACTGACTTTGCACTTGACTCTATGATGACTTCCGCTCAGGTTGTCAAAACGTCAGTTACCACTACCGACAACGGTCCTTCTCAGGATCTCACCCACCCAGACGGTCAGACAACACTATCAGATATATCAATTCTTGTCAAGTAGATTGCCCGAGTTAATGCTTAGAATTCTAATTTTAAAGGACAACTAGTCGACCGCTGTGAAAAATTGAACTTCAGTTCCAGTCAATGCTAAAAAATGTAATTTGCTGACGTTTGAGTAACGTGGGAACGAATTAGTCAGAAATTAATATTCTGATGGCACGTTGAAGAGGTTCGCGTGGCATAATGGAAGTTTCGGATTATTTGAGCGTTTTGTGGGGAATTAAGTCATTCTAGATCGGTCAGTGTTACGTTTGACCACTTTCTTTTTTTTTTTCGCATTGACGCAATTTTCGTTTTCCAAATCCCTGTAAAATATCACTACATTCATTGATTTTTCAACCAGGTTAGTTTACCCTTTCCTCGGGGTATTGTGTTGCTGCATTAGATGAGGAATACGTTTCCACATATTTTTTGGCCTCTTCTAAAGAGTGGTTTTTTTTGTGGTTTTTCGTATCTAGCGTAGCACAGGTTCTTTTGTAGAACCCTTAGATCAAATTAGGATGCATATACTACAAGACTGGCCGACTCATCCCAAATAAACTTTTCACATTGAATAACTCGTCTGAGTATAGTCAAAATCAATGCCATTACAAGAAGTAAATAGATTATTGTATCTCTCAGTTGGTATGTGCGTTATGATTGGTCATTTCAGCGGGCCATATTTAACTGTACAGCCCTCTAAATTAAAAACTTTGTTGGAATTGAAATCTTCTCACTCTATTTGAGCCCAGAGATATGAAAAATATCTCAATACACCCGTTTTTCTCGGTCCGTGCGATAAGTTTCGGAACCTAGGTCTTTCCTGACTGAGCTCTGCCTTTATAAATAATAACCAAAGGGAATTAATGATGAAAAAATAACCATAAATAATAAAAAAATGCTTTATTAGTAGTTGCAAATCACCCATGCTAAGCCCTAGTAGGGTCACATAAAGAAATAACTCACTATTGTCTATTACTATACATCTATAGTAACTAGCTGGTTGTACAGATTTTTCACATTTCTTACTTAAAAAAGAATTGTACCTACAGTTCGAGAAATATATGCACAGGACAAGATTTTGAATTTCATAAACAGAAACAGGCAAATTACACGACTGTATGCGCTACAGACAAAACAGCAAGGGTACAATTTCATATCATTTTTTTCCTACCTAAAAATTTAGATCAAATGTGATTAAACACTGTAATGTAAAAATTATAATCCAAAGAAATCAAATTTTGCCTGTCGATAACTCAGAAAGGTTTACTTGCAATACACAATTTAAAAACCTTTCGCCATAAACACAGGCATCCCCACTGTCTGGATGTAAATATTGTTAGTCTGCCCTCCCTATGCGCCAAGAAAAACCATGTCTCACATACAGATTTAACTTACAAAGACATTAAAAAGACAAGACGGATTCAGCATTTGTTGATAGAACCTTCTTGGATTGACCACAAAAATCGATTACGTTCTTACTTTAACCCTTCACACCCGAAAATCAGTATGCATATTCTCCATACTGCTCTATATACATCTCCTAAGATGCTGACAAGGAGATTTTTTCTATCAATCAGGAGCTTCTTAAGTTGGTGATCATTTCCTTTATTCTCATTACCTTAATGTCTGATTCAGGGGTGATATTGTAAGGGGAAATAAGATGCTGGTGACTCTCGGGGGTTGAGAGAACAGGCACGAAAAGCTTGAATTAATTATTAATAACTCCTCCATGTTTTACAAACAACAAAATTAGTTGCTTCAGAGATATGAGACTAGTTTCCAAGGCGCACTCGCTAGTGAGGGCAGATCTAACCTCAGCAACCCGTGACAGTCGGGTCATCCCCAGATCTCTTGGTGATATGCATCTTCACGACCTCTTCTGCACATGTCGGATGAATGCCAACAGTGGATGACAAGCTGTGGTAACTAAGGCCACACCTTAGGAAATAAAAAAGGAAAAACGAGTTTTATTGATAAATTCACACGTAAATGATACTAAAAGAAATTTACGAAAAATTTCGAGATTGACGTTTAGCGTCGCAATGTTGTCATCAAAAGAACCACATAAGTCAGTTGTGGCAAATGGAAAGAACACAAGAAGGAGTCTCTACCATACCCAGCCTGAGTCAACCCAGGTCCGAATAGATCTGTAACTAGAATGGCTCCCAGGAGAAGTTTCGAGTTCTAGGACCCAATTAAAACAGAACTGTGACAATCCTATTGTTTAACGTCAAACACTCCATCGCATGCATTGTGTGCATTAGACAGCACAATCAGTTTTTGAGATTCGCGGTCGACCCAACGGAAATATGATACTTTTTGGAGGAAAAAGCCGTTCTGTAAATAAATCTACTCGGGAAAGGATTAACCAAAGGAATCAGTGGAGATAAAGGCTCCTGTTGATGGGCCCCTGACACAAGTTATCCGGCAGTCAACAAAAGAGTGAACGAATAAGTAATGAACGATACTGAGTTTGGTCAATATATTGCGTAAAGGGAACCGTAAGCTCAGTTGGTAGAGCGCTGCACCAGTATCGCAGAGCTCATGGGTTCAAATCCCTTAAAAGCCTGAATTTTCCCAGGCTTTATTTTCACTACTGCTGAAGTAGTGTTCATTACTGCGAAGATCACTTTTATATTCATTTCTTAATCCGCACTTCACATTTATGATTATCATATATTCATTGTCATTAATTCCTCACTTCACGGGTTTGTTATTGGCTTGTTAGTTCAATCGGTAAAGCACTACACCGGTATCGCAGAGGTAATGGGTTCAAATCCTGTACAGGCCTGAATTCATTTCAGGCCTTAGTGTTCATTACTAGGAAGATCCCTTTCATATTCACTGATTTTGATGACGTGAAATTCTTGTGATTTTGTTACTTCGTGCAGTTAAAGAACTGTTCAGTGAATCGTTATTTTTTGGCTTACCGTACTCAAAATGTTACCTATATTAACTATGACTTAGAAATGACTTCCTTCGATTTACTCAAATATCACCCTGATTTGCCGCAAATAACGGTGGTTCAGGTTTTGTCTGGGAATGCACACGACGACGCCTTCAAGCTAGAAACACAAATGCAACACTTTCCACTATCATATATAATGAGGTCGTTCTTATCTCTTTCTTCATATTGCAACTCTACACTCTCAAAATAATTCTGGAATGATGAAACTCTTAATCCATCCGTTAACGAAATAAATTCAAGGGAATTTCCTGTCGGGTTTTAGTAGAAGGCAAAGTAAAATTCACCTCATAGCAGCAGAGAATCCCTGGATTACTTCGCCTGCTGAAGGACCCAGGAAATGAAGACCTAAGACTTGCTGATCACCTTCACGCAAACAGACGGCCTACAAAAAAAGACAATGGGAAAAAAATTAAACGGAAATAACTTTCAAACTTATACTGAAGCAGCTTGGACTGCTGAGATGTGTGCGGTTGTCTCTCCCATCCAGGTGAGCCAAAGTGACGAGGCACAGGCCTGCACTGACACAACATTCTCACTTAGCAGATTTCTCTTGTAATTAAGAACGAAAAGTAGTTAATTCTTAAAAAGCAGAAAATAACTATCATAAATAGAAAGGGAAAAGAAATACAAATAAACGATGAAAAAAAAACTTATCAAGTACTGAAAGAGATATCGCAAACACACGAAACGTTCCGACCTCGACACAGAAGAAGAACAAATCATATGAAAGCTAAGAAACGTGAAATACATCGAGCGGGGATAAAAGTGACTACCACATGTAAGGAAACACTTTACCTTAATATAACACTGCTCCACTTTTCTTTCAGGTACTGTAAATTCTAGTGGTTTGTAGAAGGCATGATAAACCTACGAAGCCAAAGGAGAAAACAAACCGATTTTCAAAACTTTTCACGAGTTTAATTGGAGGTATATTAACTAACAAATGAGAAATAACCTCAATGTTGTCTTCCCCGTAACGCTCAATAGCTTTTTCTTCTGACATTCCAACTGTTCCAAACTCCAATGGAGTAAACACTGTCGTCGCCACCTAAAGTTGAAAAAGATCAGAGGAAGGGAATATTGTTATCTATAAGTGTACTGGGATATTTAACAGTTCACAGAAAATTACATGTTTGTGTTGATACACTTAAAAAAGGTACTTTGAGATGTCTGTAAACTTAGGGCGGATAGAAAAAGAGCCAGTTCCAAACGTGGTCAAATGGCGCAAAATAAAAAACGGCGCGAAAATAGCAGCAGAGCGAAAACGAGCGAGGTTTGGGTCTGGTCGCATGTAGTTCATTATGCAACCCGACCCAAGCCTCCCTCCTTTTTTTTAACTCCTCTGATACAATAGTGCGGTTCATCATTGCTCTTCGTTTTACCAACTGAACGCCTGGGACAAGCTCAGCAAACAAAGGAGGGTAATTTTGGAGGAGTGTTTCATGCGACATGTCCAGAACCTCCCTTTTTTCTGACTCTGAGAAGCTATCGAGTCCTGTTTACTAACTGAACGCCTGGAACAAGCTAAACAGTCTGAAAGATGGTTCATCCATGGTGGACCTGTGACATACCTTGTCGTAATCCATCGTCACGTCAGACCCCCCGAACAGCCTATCAGCGAGCAGTTTTCCCGCTCTGATGGCTACAGGTGTCAACTCTGGACGATCCTGTTCACAAAGAAAATTGCAGTTCTCAAAAAACTTCACGAGTCTAAAAAAACATCAACTGGTTCGGAGGATTTCCTTGTTCTTTCAAACCGTCAACGCAACGTAGCCCCAAAAGAAGCTTCCTTTAGGGGTGGGTGGGGGGAAAAGTTGAGATGGCTTACATCCCAAAGAACAGAAACCACGGCTATAAAGGGAATTAGGGAAATTGCCAATGAAGCCACGCAGTGCTGCTATAATAGAGAGTTTCAGATTTCATTACGGCGGAGTGTTGGAAAACGTTGCCGAAAAAAGCCAACTTCCTTATCCCCTAAGAATTTCGTCAGTAGCTCGACGCGTTTACCGTTTCTGACGGTGCGACATCTTCCATTCGGCAGAAAATATAAATTAAGTGTTGAATTCAAAGTAAAATCGTGACTAAATTTCTGTCGAAGTTTCTTTACTTTGTTCTGTACGAGACGCCTGAGGAATGACCAAAGTTTTAAACGCACGTGCAGAGCTATTGTTTTGTTCATTACATCTTTTGTTTCGCTACGTTCTCGTCGCCGTCACTGTCGAGGTTTTCTTGAAGTCCCTAATAATTCAACAAAGACATCGTTCGCACGTTTTTTCTAACTTCACAACATAAGTGGTTCTCACCTGGACGACGTCCCCAATGGCGAAAATGTGCGGAACTGAAGTTTGCTCCTTGTCATTGGCTATGATCTTTTTGGTCTGTTGGTCTAATTGAACCCCGGCTTTCTCAAGATTCATCTGTGATGTCTCAGGATCTCTACCTAAAATAACAATAATCCTTCTTAATCCACCGACACTGAGGTGAATAGTTGTTTTAGTATATACTGAAACAGTGAGATAATATAGCACAAAAAGATGATGATGGCCGGAGGTGAATGGCAAGGATATTCAGAGGTTTGAATAGCCAATCAGAGCGCACCTTCAACGATATCCACTGTTGCTATGAACTAATAATTGTTAACTATGGGAACCAAATGGATTCGTATGTCACAGGCAAACCGCCCATACTAATTAAATCATATGGAGAATTACTAAAGCCACAGGCACTTATAGTGAAATACCAAATGTAAAATATGAAGGCGAGGCACAAGGATCATATTTAAGTCTCTAATTACTTAATGAATTAATACTTTAAGTACCAAGATAACAACGTCGCAACCTCGACTTATGAGTTGATTTGTGAAATATTCAGAACATTTCAACACTGGCCTAAAGGCTTTCGAGTAGTTTTATTTTGCACTCATAAAGAGGGCGATAGAAATGAGATTCTGAAAAAAAAATTCGTGGATTATTGAAGATCAATCACTTATCAACACTAAAAACCACGCTTCGCCTCTGAAAACAAAACTGCACATAAAGTTCGGTTTCAATTCCAAGAAACACTTACCTCTTTCGGCTAAATTTTGGCAAATATTATGAACTATTTTTCTTTCCCTATTTAATCCTTTAATTTTTATGGCTGTTTCAACTTTACATATTTACATAAAGGAAGTACGAGAAAAAATAATCTTGGATATCGGTTTTGATGAAGTTCTTACCAATTGCAAATAGAACAGTCTCAAATGGTTCTTTGTGTGATTCTCCCGTCACAGAATCCTTCCATGTTACATGAAGAAGTCCATCATCAGCTTTATCTATCTGCACTGGAACACACTTCTTGATGATTCTTGTTCCATGGCTCTCCATGTAATCGGTAGCAAGTTGTGCCATTTGCTGCAGAGAAGAAAGGACTTTTTAACTCTAATAAACTGCATATGAAGCAACATGAGTTTCGGAAAAAGCATAATTGCAATAATTAGGAAAGGTGGCTACAAAACAGTAGAAATATATCACAAATGGCCCACACGAACCGACGAAAGTATACAACCTATGGAAAGAGAAAAGTTTTATTTCATTCGGACTTAAACTTCAGAGTTTCTATTCCACTTAAACCAACGCAGATATTTTTTTTTTTTTTTTAAATTGAAAGGAAAACGCGTTCCTTTTGTACAGGGTCGACTTATTTTTGGGAAAACCCTCGTGCCAGAAACCGCGCGCAGTTCATCACGAGGAGTGGTGTCAGTGGGATAAAGCAAGTGGTGCACTGATCTTCTGTTTATAGAAGGGGGGTGGGGTGGGGATGGTAGACGAATCGACTCAATTTGGGTGTATTGGACAACCCTCGGGGGGAGGGGGAGAGAGAGAAGAGGACTTTAAAACATGACGTTCCCCTTGAGGTTATTTCTAGTTTAAAAAGCCTTTTGGTGGGTAAGGGCCGTTCCCTTTCAATGCTGTCTTTAATAACGGGATTCTCTAATCAAATTGGGGTATCAAAGAGGTAAGTACCATATACATCCTGAGCAAAGCGAGACATTACTGTTTTAAGTTCATACTCGCAACCCCTCTCATTGACCATAATCAGGCACCTTTCACGTACAGAGCTATTATAAACCTTTTGACACCCATGGGTGATAGAAGAATTTTTTCTTAACAATATCAATACAGTATCAAGCTAACAAGTGATGAGAATAAAGAAATATATCAATTAGGGGATTATTAGTTGATCAAATATTAAAATTAAGATTGAAATGGTTGATGTATTAAAATATCTTTAGTAACGATCTTATGAAATGTACTTGGTTTAGTGTATGTTCCAACCTGGTCAAACCCTCTGAGTGGAATGGATCGCATCATGATAGATGTGTCATATCCTAAGCCTGTCAGGAAACCAGCACACTCCAAGGCAACATCTTATATAAAAAAAGTGTTAAGGAAATCACTATGCAGCTGGAAAACATACTAATTTTAGGGGCCAGTTATTTTAAACAATACCTGGCAGCATTCTGACCCATCTCCAATTGGCCATATTAATGTTATGTACTTAGTTGCCAAGCCTTTGATTTGGAGTGAGGCTGAAGGTGACCTTGTTGTGAGAGACCAGTATCTAGTTAGCATGATAACAAAGTTTGTATCATAACAAGGTCAACCTTAGCATCACTCCTGTTCAAAGACTTGACAACCAAGCACATAATTAAAAAATGGACCGTTTAGCCAACTTTTTTATCCAATTGTTTTACATTTTGTGACAGTGTGTATGTTTCTTCCAAACAAGATAATTATAGAGAAAACTCAGAGTCCATTATTGTTCAAAACTGCAGCCATAAAATGTTCAATCAAGTAACTCTATGTATTCAAATTTAATGATGCTGGTTACCATGTTTAAGACAAGTTTCAGTGCTAGCAATGTAAACACACAAGGTAACAAAAGAGGCATTTCTGGTTCCATCAACCCACTAAAAATTGAAATCTGATTGTTTTTGCTTTACTGATCCATTCTCGTTAGCTGGGAATAAAATGTGATTTTGAGCAAAAATTATCAACGATGCATCAGCAAATATTTGCAACATAGAGAACCAATCAGATTCAAAGGTTCATCTGGTCCAATGATTTCAAAACAGATGAAATAAAAGTCGAAATCAGAAAAGACAAATCCACAAAAAACTAACAAGGATACAAGATGCACCAATAACTAATCTGAAAAATAATAAAAAATTGTACATAATGTTTAGGTAAAAGTTGTAAAGAGAAATTACCTTTACAAGGGGAGGGCAATACCTTGATAACTATCCTGAAAAGCAAATTATCTGTAATCTTGCCCACATAGAACAATTGCTTTTCTTGCCAAGTAGTTCCACAAGCTAAAATTTATTGATTTAATAATTTACTAAAGAGTCAGAAACTTTTTTGTCCAAATCAGGTTCTGATCTATTAAGGTTATCCTAGCATTCATAGGGTTTCCTAATGTAATCCACTGGCACTTTGTGGGGAGGGGGGAGGGGAGGTATAGAAATATTTTACTCATCATACAAAAAATTTCAGTGATGTAGCTAAGATCACTAATCATCAAAAATGCCCATTAAAGTAGTAAAAGTAAAGTAGTAAGAGTCAGTAATAAGTGAAAACATAACCTCAGATTCAATCCAACATTTCTTTCATTTATCTTATAATAAACCTATCAATTTCACTAAATTTTAAAGGATATCAGGACATTTCGAAACATAAGCACATCTATGGAATATGATAAGTTGAACTTACGTTTTCCCTGGAGATTTTTTCAGAGAAAAAATATCATCACTGCTGATAGCATACTCTATGGCACCAGGAACCTGGAAAGAAAATATTGCAAAGGATTAGAGCAAAGAAAAAGCTCCCTGACAAAAAGGCAAAGAAAAGATTTTGAGCCTATGAGCCTATGAATAAAGTGAAAAAAAAAATTTAGCATCTCCAAAAATCAAGCATGCCAACATAAGCATTTCATTGCCCGCAGGAAAGAATTAAGCTTTAAGAAACCCTTGCCAGGAAGAGGTCTGGAAAAAAAAAACAAAAAAAAAAACAAACAAAAAAAAACAATCACTATAGCATCCTTGCTGGCCCTCATTATTGATACCAGACCCCTGACAAACCTCACCAAAATCACCTCAATTCTTCCTCATGGGCAGAGGAACACACATCCTGCAGCACTTATTATGAGGACCTGTTTGGGGGTTACCAAAAATCCCACCCCATCCCAATCCACAATAAACCACCCATTCAAAATAATATTAGGAAAAGGTATGCTAAAAGTAACAACTTTGTAAATACTCTGACTGATATTCAGGTAGCTAACCTCCTTAGGAAATTTTGGTCTTCCACCAACAGCTATTACAAAATTATCTGCCTTCATAGTTTTCTAAAAAAAAGTTTTAATATAAAAACAGCGATTAGCTAACCTGAACACACAACTGACAAATAACCAACTGATAAGCAGAGCTAGGTGTCTAATGGGATCTGTATACCCCAGCCTCACAAGTCTAGTTGTTTGTTTTCTTAAGAAAATTGTCCATAACAATGTTAGGTGATGAAGATACAATGTTCAGACTATCACAAAAAGGTCTGTGTAGTACAATTTGTTATGCTTGCAAGGTTATTCTGATGTTAACTATGTTAGAGAAATCCAATATCTGTGTGGCCACTCAAAGTCAAATTAAAGCTGTATCCCTATTTTTGGTCAAAATTTTGTTATTTACCTCACTCAGTTATTATATCAACACTACTAAATAGATACAAGATACTCACTTGACATACAGTATTCAATAACAATTTAGCAATATGAACATTGCTCATAACCGTACTTAATTTTACTTATTGTATGTAATACTAACATGAACTGTGTGCAAAAGCTCATAACCTATAACCTTTATCCTTTTATAATTTTCTTAGAGTGCTAAGTTATATCAAACATTACCATTCTTATCATTTTTTATTTTTTTCCAAAATATATACTACCCACAGTACACAATCAATTTGATAAACAATTGTTTTATTTTGTACCTCAGTGCCATTTTTCAGTACTGCCTTGATTGTATGAGAGTCCAGAAAGGAACCTTTAGCATTAACATACTCAACCTTCCTGAAAATAAAAAAGGAAATATTGTTGGCTACTGCCAAGATTGGGAAATTAGGATAGATGGTGACACAGACATGCAACTGGCATCATAGTAATGTGGACAATCATATCACTGCTGAACTGCAAATTAAAACAGTTACACTGTTGTTTACATCTTATATACTCAGTTGTTTTGAAGAAGCTGTCCAAAAAATGGACAAAAGTGCATGCGACAATCATGAAAATTAATCTAGAAATCCAGTAATCAATGGATTTAATAATTATGTTTTAATTAAAACAAATAAACAATGAAATGAAATCATCAAACCCCTTATGCCTCGTTCTTACAGTGACCTTTTCTCAGATTTCCCTGATTTCCAGAGGTCAAAGAGATGTGACCTGAAAACTTCCTATAAAACCTTTTGGGGATTGTCGCATGCACTTTTATACTCTTTTTCCCACAAAATTTCACAAAACAGCTGGAAACTGCACATCACCAACTGAAAAAAGTAATTACGCACATTGAAACTAAATATCAGTGCCTTTTAACAAGTGTTATGACTTTCAGACTTACTTGTCATGTAACTGAATTCGGTGGCCCCAGTTCAATGATCTGACATGATTCTGAACTGCCGTCACAAGTGTTTCCCTACCAAAAATAAAAACAATATAATAGTTTTCAACATGATAATCTGCTTTGAAGAAAAAAAATTACATACTTATCCATCACTGTAATCAAAAGAAATTCCTACCATGAAAAGTTTATGTTATCTGGGACGTTCCATCCAAAGTGTTTGGCATCCTAAAGGAGTGGAAGGTTAGCATAACACATTAGGGCTTGGAGATCCAGTTTTGTTTCATTACTGTATTCTCTCAATGTGAGAAAATTAAAAAATTAAAAAAAAAAACAGTTTGTTCTCATTTTATTAGCAAACTTGGACAAAAAATGAAAAACCTAAAATATATTCTGACTAGTAACTTCATCGTGTAATGATAATAATAATAATTAATAATAATAATTTATTTACTTCTATAGCGCCCTTTAACATTTATATGATCAAAGGCACTTTACAATTAGTGTCTCTTCCACCCATCCCACCCCAGGGGAGGACATCCACCACACAGTAATCTTGTGCGTGGGAAATTAATGTCTCCTACCCCAACCCTGCAGGAGACGGGGCCTACGGTTTTACGTCCTATCCGAGAAGACGATCATCACATAGGAGATCAAGATATGAAAGCAAACAACAAAACAACAATAAAGAGGGTAAGTTTCTAAAGAAATTGTGGTGCTGCATTGGAGGGAGAGTATAACAGGTAATTTAGTATATCAACTGAGTTACATATACATTATTTAATACTGACTTTCCCAAAAGGGGCTTTTCAAAGACAATAACTACAACTACAATTAAAATAAATAACTGTCATTAACTACAATTCATTACTATCAAAAGGGAATAACTATTTTAACAACTAATTAATGACAACAATAACATCAATTGAAAGGAGAATCATTGAGAATCTATAAAATCTTCAAGAAGTTCACGTTTAAGGCTATACTTAAAAACACTGTTGTTTCCGATAATGTAAATTAAAAACAACAGTAATATTGAGTTGATAGTGTGAATTGGCCACCATAAAGAGTCTAAAAGCTGATGTTTCAAGTGTTAGCCTTTCATTAGAGAAACTTGTTGAAAAGTTAATACTCAAAACATTAGCTTTTAAACTCTTTGAGGCTGCCAATTTACATTATCAACTCAGTTGATAATACTAAATTACTCTACAAAACAACAACCTAACTGGTTTTACTAGTACTGAAATAGTCAGCTAAGGTTTCACTAGAAACCAATTGGTTTTTTCCTTCCATCACAAATTATAATATCCCAAATGTAATGATGACAGCTTTCTAAGTTTTGCCAGGAACCTGACATCACTTTACTAGCCTTAATGTGTGATTCAGGGGTGCTATTGTTTGGAGAAATTAGATGCTAGTCACTCTTATGGGTCAAAGTCAGTTAAAAAAATTTTTTTTTGTCAGTACCATTGATAGCAACTGCAAAGAGAAAAGTATGGTGAGTAGCATACTGATGTTAGGTTGTAGAGGGTTAAAACTGTTATGCATTACTGTAATTATGATAATTGTATCTAATTAACTGTACCTTCAATGACTCTCCTAACAGCGCTGCCTGATGCATCAACTTCTTTGGAATACATCCTACATTAACACAGGTTCCACCCAAGCCCCAGATAGAACCTTGAATGAGAATGAAACACAAACAACACAAAAGCAACAATAAGACTTAAGAACTTTTGTTTCCATCCCAGATACAATATTACAATTAGAACCAGTTGCTAGTAAGAGTGCAACCATCCACTGACAGTACCTTGAGGAGATGGAGAAACAAAATCCAATACTGCAACCTTTTTTCCATATTTTGCCGCTGCAAGATAACAAAAGTAGCAGTTAATTCACAACTGATGGGCTGAGTTTCCCCTTAGCTCTTAACCTCCCAGAAGTGATTAAAATGTAACCTTTTCCCTATTTTATCCATACATTATCCATCGAACAGGCAATAAGAATACTCCAACTCATTGGATATGTTGTAACTCATTTACAAGGAAATATGCAGTAGCTCAGTATAGAGAAGAATTAACAATCAGATCATGGGAGTTTCAAGGTTTAAATAACTTTCATGATTTAGTATTCAGAGTTGATTTCTTGTCCTTACCTTCTTTTGAGCAAGCAAGTCCACCAGACCCACCGCCAATTACAATGAGATCATATTCAGATGAATCTAAATCAACCAAGGAAAGTTAAATAATAATGTTTAACCCTTTACACCCCAGCATAAGCATTCACTTTCTCCAAACTCTCTGCATAACATTTCCTAAAGCGCTGACAAGGAGAATTTGTGTGACTGTCAAGAGCTCCTGAAATTGGTGATTGAGTACTTTATTCTCGTCACCTTTCCCTTAGATTCAAGGGTGATACTGTTAGGAGAAATTAGAAGCTAGTTATCCTGAGGAGTTAAAGGACTAAGTCTTTCTTTAGATCATCATGGCTATAAGTATTGGTGCCATGAGAAATTAAAGAAGATGCACCATTGTTGGTTTGAAGTTGTCTAAAAGATTTGAAGTATATGAATTGGGAGAATGATCCATTGCAAGAGGCCAGAACCTAAACAGTATTTTCTGTTTCTTTTTTTTCTTTCTTGATCTTTCTTGTAAAATGTGAGTCTTAGAAATTATTTTCAAGAATTGGGGTTGAAAAAGGTTGTTGTGATTGTTTAATCGGGTTCAAAAGGTAATTACCTGGTGTTAGAGCAATCACACCACATTAGGTATGATTTTTTCAAATGTGTGGTTCAAAAACAGCTTGTCTACTTCAGAAAAAGGAGAGAGGTGAAAATTAAGTCAGCTTCTGACCAAGAAAGTTGAAAGCTTACATTCTGACATATGCAAAAATAACTTTGATTTGTCAGCATGAAGAGGAAAAACCTAAGGATTTTCTGAGAGCCCCAAAGCTGGCATAGGTTTATAATCCTTTGATTCCTAGAGTAATTAGCATCTAACTTCTCTAAACAATATCAGTCCAGAATCACACACAATAAGGTCACAAGAAATTATAAAGGAAAATGATCACCAACTAAAGAGACTCTAATGATTATCAAACAAATTCTCCTTGTCTGGATCTTAGTAAATGTACATAGAACAGTATGGGGAATATGTATAATGGAGTTTGGGTGTAATGTGTTAATAGTCAAAGGCATAGAGCTCAATTACTGATGGGTCTAAGATACTAAATGGCTTACAACATTCAAAGCATTCTGTCAGAGTTAAATATTGAAGTCAGAACTGATAGACTTGTTAATAGACAAGTGTATCGCAAACTGTCAAGTTTGTGAGATATTTCATCACCAGCTGCCTCCCCCTCTAACCCAATACCTGCCCCCCTCCCCATCCCCCTCTCTCTTTCTTCTCTCCATGATCAAGCTCAGGAGTGTACCAATTTAAAAGTGTATTCTTTAATATAAAACCTCTTCGTGTAACGAACCAATTTTTACCCCGTGCGCCGAAAAGTAACGAGTTATTTCAGCTTACCTTGGACACTAGCGCTGCTTAAGCTCCTGTTGACATGTGATAGGGAATTAAAAGCCTTCAAATGTCCTCCGATGTGTTTCAGTCGTGCAGAGTGCCTTATAAAGCTCATGAAGGTTTAATGAACCTTTATCGTGGAGTTAGAGTCGTAAAAATCTACTCTTAGTCTCAGCAATCGGTGTTCTAAAAACTTCCACAGTCCCCCGGCCAAGCAAGTAGTACATGTACCAATATTTGTGATCTTCCCTGTTACTGCTGTACTACTTGGCAAAAGATCGCGGGCGCGATAATTTTCAAGACTAGTGCCCAGGGTCTTTGCTATGCACAAAGTGATAGCGGTAGGACAAAGGGGCATACTCACTCATGGAGTGGCTTGCGAGAAGGTTAATAGCTTCAGCACGAGCGGTTCTTCGCTCGCCCTTAGGCAACGGAGTCCAGCACAGATAATTATTAGTTCCAGACATCCGACTCGTCTAAAATTAAGTCGTGTCCTGCGGCACTATAAGATAACGATGGAATGCTCGCAGGCTACGAAAGGAGTCCAAAATCAAATCGTGTAGCGTTAAAATGTTCCAAAAAGTACGGTTTGAACTATTTAAAAGCTGAATCTCGCCTTCTTCACCCCAAAAATGAAATGGAATGAACGCAGATTAGCATACGTTTGGACTATCCGAAGAACTCGTTGTTCCACAGCGCTCTCAAAAAATGTCTGTCTTCTAAAAATGAGACATAAAAAAATCCGTAAAATTCTTATCTTTTTCTTTAGTCAACTTTTAAGCCATTCAGAGTTAAATTAATTTCTTTAAATTTTGCTGAATCGAAACTTTCTCTTTCAACACCCAGAAGGTCTCATAAAACCTACAAAGCAAAGGTCAATTTTCAAGGCTTCAATGTTTTTTCCTTGCATGTTTTTTTGTGATCCACAATTGCATGACTAGGCCCTGATAAATTTTCCTAGATAATGCGACCTAAAAATAAATTGTTCGTTCCGTGCAAATACAGCGAAACAGGGCCTGACGTCTCGGAGAAAAATGAACGCCCAGGGTCATGATCAAATTAGCTCCATCTAATTGAATCCCTGATTCTCTGATTGGTGGATCATTATCGTAGAAAAACAGAAAGGATAGACATACAGGTGCTACATTATGATATATTAAATATTTGTATGTGAAATACGAGCTTTCTACTTTCATGAAAGAGAAAATGTGGAGGAATTATAAAGGTTCTCCTTTTTTCAATGATTGTACGCTATATGCACAGTTTGGAGCATGGCGAGGTACTGTGCTTTCTTTATATATTAGGGACCTTCAGTGGTCACGACGGCAACCCCGAGGAAAGCGTCGATTAAAAAATAATTCCTATTTAAATTAGGATTTACGAATGGCTAGATGTGTTTACCGTCTTTTGGGGCGCCACACTTCAACTTCAGCTTAACCTAATAAAGTATGCGAGCAACGTTCAGTCCCAAACGGAAACTAAAATAATTTGGCGCCGGAGTTCCCGTGCTAGGACAACGCAAATTTAGGTGATTACACATTGTTTTTCGGCAGAGGACAGCTAAGAAATGTGCACAGATTTAGATCCTCTTTGCCGTCGCCGCCTGTTGTGTTCTACTTGAGGTCCCCACCACAACTACGATGATAGCACTGCTGAGGCACGTATATAGTGCTTGCCTTATTACGAAATAAAGATTACTGTATTGTTTCAATTGTTCAATTTTCATTTAGTTTCCGCTCAGCACTTTATGACTTTGTACTTTGCCTCTGATTTAGCATCCTCGTTTGCCATCGACAGCATGACTCGCAGCGTTGTACGGGAAGTTAACCCCTTTCATGAAAAAATCCGTGAGACTCTTAGTGCAGTCACAGCAGGCATTTAATGGTGAGACAAGAACGAAAAGAATGGCGGCTATGAAACCAACTGGCCACGCAATAAGAAGCAAAATGATCAACCAGATTATACTCCATAGTAGGCTGCACAAAGCGTCTATAACCTTCGCCATTTTCTCCTCTACTGACTATGACTAAGTTAAGCGGTGATTCTGCAATTCAAATAATTGAATTAGAACTGAAAAAATCATTATTATAGGGACGCAAGCTCTTAGCTATAGAATGGTTAAGGTATTGGGCGCAGTCTTCTCTCCAACGTATGGAGGTAATCACCCTCTGAATCCTCGCTGCTAATCAAGTCGCAGCCCACAGACCGATCACAAAGCTATGTAATTTTTTAACTAACGCCATGGGCGAAAAAGGAGCGGTTCAAATGATTAAGTTCCTCGACTGCCAAGTTTCCTGCATCGGAGAGACTGTTTAGAACCTCGACTCAAGATTGAGGCATAAACACGAATTAGCGAGGATGACAGGTGATAATAACAATCAGTGAACAGCCTCGACTCATGAGGCACATTTAGTGATCGGAACTCTGCTCAATTTTTACAACCTAAGTAAAGAGCTACAACTAATAATTGACTTTGGAATACGGACTTTTTGCCCAAGGCCACCGTGACTGATATTACGTAATACATATTTGAGGTGAATAACGTGACAAGTTTCCCTGTTGTCGTGTTTACATGAAATAAATTTACGACTTGTTTTTTTCAAAAGAAATTTAGAAACATGAATTATGTAGTCTATGTAGTTTACTGCTCGCCAGCTTCTCGATAATCGACGCGGAAAGAAGAGTAAAAAAGCGTTGAAGTACCACCAGTTTTGGAGCTTGTTACCTGTTCTACGGTACATGGAATTTTCAAACAAATAAATTCGGACTCCTGAAACAAGAAGCTTAAATTCCACACTACTTGACTGCTACCAATTTTAGTCAAAAATAAACATTTTTAAATTTACTTACACTCAGTTTTTCCTTTCTTCGGTTAATCGTTGTCCTTTGGAGAGAAAATAATCTATGCAAGATCACAGGAATAGACCACTTTGAATTTTTAACGAAAGCTGGTTTGTCAATCAAAATAATAAGCACTTAGACATCTACCTGTTGCAGGACTTGTGCCATAGTTTCTATGTTGTAATGGGGTACCTTACAACTTCACATAACGAAACACGAACTGGAAGTGCATGAGCGGCGCAGTCAGAGATGCGTGTTCTTCGATGTATTTTTTCGTGATGTACCAAATGGTTCTATTTAAAGCCAGGTGCTCACTAGAGACGCTAGTGTAAGCATAAACATAACTATAAGGTGTTCTACATGCACTGGTAGGGATCAGCGCGGGACGGGGCCACGAGACTTATATAGGTGCGAGAAAACCAATAAACATCTCACTGAGTATTAGGATCAAAGTAGAGCAACAGCCGAATTATCGGATTTCAATCCATAGTTCGACTCGGAAGGAAGAGGATCTGTGATGTCCGTGTGCTTGGGCGACTGAAACTAATCGCTAAGGAGGAGGGGTTGTGGTTAAGTCTTTGTCTAATGGTGTCAATGATGAAGAAGGGAGCTCGAGCGGTGTTTAACTCTGACAAAGCGTCATCTTCCGTCAGATCAGATTTCAAAGTCGATACTTAGTTGTTTCGCGAACAAAATCCGTTTATGGTGGTTCCCTGGTATTGCACTGTGCGTCTTGTTTTTTCCACAATAGCTTGTGTAAATGGCAAATTAATCGAGCGTGTTCAATTACGTGTAGCAGGGTGGTCTGCTATCGATGACAAAAAATTAAGTTTTTTTCCCCATTCAGGCCTCATAAGATTATCTTTATCGCGATGGTTTCAAATAAAACATTGGTTTGATGGGGTTTGGCAATGAAAATGCAGCAACAACACCAATCTGAGTGCGTGCGGTAAGTCAAATTCTTGTTCACCTGCATTCAGCGAAATAGCGATCTAGAAACGTCTTTAATTACTGCATTCAAACGACCATGTCCTCCGGTAAAATGTTTCTCTGAGCACAAACAAAAGGCGCAATAATCAAAAGTTTTAGATGCTTTAAATTCTGTTCATAGGCTGCATTGAAACTTCTCTTTCAATCATCGAACTTCGTGTGTTTGTATTGATTCACTTTTTTCTCCGCGAATAATTCGAAAACCAGCAACCTTCTAAAAACCATTATACATAGACTATTGCATTGCATAGGTTATACAAACGCCTAAGGAAAATGTCGATATCCATTGCGGTGATTGAATTGTTCTTAAGTCAGCTCTAACGATTTGGTTCTTTCTATTGTAGTTTGGCGAGATCAGTTTTCAATAGGTATGACAGTTATTCATCGTCTGTGAGAGGAAATGAAGCGCATCCATAGGCATTCAATGCGTATTATCATTCGTGATATAGCCAAAATTGATTCACCGTAGACAACTGCGTAGCAAAGGTTAGCTTCGACACCCAGTCTGGAAGACTGAGCATCTTTAAAATTCTTTTTGCAGTGGTCATTGTAAGTAAACGATACATCGGGGAAAAAGATGAAGAAAAACAAAAATAAAAAGACAAATAAATGAATAAAAAAAGGAACATCATCTAGCTGAAGTCCTCGTCATAAAACTAAAATTATTTGTAGCCGTCAGTGTACTAACAGACTCTGAGATCAAGCACCTAAGGACTCATTGAGATCACGCACCTGAGGACTCACTGGGATCACGCACCTCGGGACTCATTTTGCGGCCAATATCGTTCCAAGAAGTCTGGCTTAATGTCGTACTATCTAAAGATTTGATTTTTATCCCCAACACGCGAATCATTGTCCAGCGGAATTTTCATATGTTACGTGGTGGATGACCAATGTCCTTTATTGAACACACCAGATCTCTAAAGTCAAAGGAGCAATTATGGAAATTTTAAGGAAAATCATATTTCAGTCTTCTCTTTCCTGTCAGTCCTGGTCTAGCTTGCGAATCAACCCTTGTGAGGTGTAATCCTGTACTCAGAGAAAAATCCAGAGTTTTCTGATCTAACTTCAAAGTTTATTTGTCTATGTTAAAACACCTTACAGCGCATGTAACATACTGAACTATCTTACATTAATTTAAATGATGTGAAATAACATCGGCGAGCAACACTTTGATCACCGCAGCAATATATACACACTGCCTTAAGCACGAAAAAAGATAAGTTTTGTCTAGAATTCATTTTCGGTAAGTTTGATTGCTAAACTCAACTTTTACAAAGAACTGCCAAAATATTCCTTACTTTTATAAGCCAATTGTGAAATGTGCTATGTTATTTTAGTTAAATCTACATTTTTGCCAAAATTATCCCTTATGAGGAACGAAAACTTCCTACGTGCTGTAATGAGCATACCACAAAATGTTGTGTTTAATATTATCAATGCTTTTATATCGTTCAAACAAGAGCAATTCTTCCGCATCCAAGACTTTCCGAAGTCTACTTTCCTCGCGAAACCGAGGCAATCATTATGAGATCGAGTTGTCCACAGGATTCGAGGGTATAAGTGCAAACCATACCACCAAATACACGGCCAATCACATTATTATTTACACAGTTGTTATATTGGCCAATATTTTGGCAAGAAAGAAAAAAAAACTAGAACTTTTTACATGACGTGAAAACCTGTATCTTTATTTGAAACGAACGGCGATTTTGATGGAAAAATTCACGGGAGTTTTCCTGATGTGCGTCCTTTGTCTGTTAATACGGGAACGTAAAGTATTGCGAACAGCTCGCATTTCAGTCATGTGCATGTGCAGTTTTATCCTCTTGAACAAGTCGTCACAGAATATCTCTCTGAGCACATCTCGCATTTAACAGTGCAGCACCACACAAACTGACACTTGCATTTTACAAGCTTGTAATGTTCTTGTGTCTGATGCCACATTTTGCACGAGTTGCACAGTGATTTGCATTTAGTCGTGGATACCTCGTCGCTTCTGCATGTTCTCCCCAACATTCCCGGGGCACCCACACTGTCGTTCCTTAAGCAGTAATCTGGGGACGAGTCGAGATAGACCAACTTTCTTTCTCTTTTGGAGACAGCTCTTGTCTTCTTATGAATTCGTTCTTGTAGCTTGTTGTTCTCAAATGAAACCTGCGTGGCTCTGAAATAAATTTCCTTTAGTTTTGATCCGATAGCGTTGAAGTTCACCAACCGTCTCCAACACGTTTTCATACTGCAGCTTCCTGTGACTCCATGACATTTGCATTCTTTTTGCACACTCGAGCGAACAATCTGTTGGTTCAAAATAAGCGTGCTTAAGCATCTTTGGACCCAACCTCTCTTCTTACTTCAGATCACGAGTATCTATGGTTGCTGGCCTATATTTTCCCGCGCAAATATCAACCAATCACTGTCTCTATACGAAGTATAATCGGTTGACTCAGATCGGAAAATCTGCCAGTAGAACTTTGATCACCTTTGGACTCTTGATTGACACATGTGAGTATCCAACCCTTACAGCCCAGTCGCCACGTCTCCACAATAAAGCGGATGTGAGACAAACGACTACACTTCATATAGAGAGTGCATTTACTAAGGTGACATACTGTGACCACTTTAACAGTATGAAGTCTGTTTAGATTTTATATTGGAGCCACTTTTAAAGCGAGATTCCGCAATTCTCCGAAGTCTTTATTCAGAGAACAAATGGCATGTCCTCTCTGTACTGTGAAAAAGAATTCTGTAACTTTGACATATTTCGTTCAGCTCCCTTACGGTAGGAGATTTCATCCACCGAAAGTTAGGAATTCAACGCAAGCAAAAAATAAAAGATGTTACACTGGCTCGATATCCTGATTGAGGCAATACAAAAACAATTAAATTAGCATACCTTCCTTCCTACTTCATTATTATGAAGATTAAAAGCCGTTCGAGCATCATTTCCGTTTTCCAGTCTATCGATGAAGCGCCTTGTCTCCTTTTCGCCATATCTGATGTCATCACTGCACCCTCCCCACTGCCAATCATCTGTAACCCGTCGCTGTTTCTTGACTACGGCGCACGAGCATCCGGGGATCTTTCCCTGTCGGCACTGAAGCGTGATTTCGTGAGTAATGGCGGCAGAGCTGATGGCGTGGATAAACGCGGTCTCCCTAGTGGCTATAAGAATATAATAACTGTTAGAATTCGAAAGGAAATTATATCAATCAAACGAGCTAAGCCATAATGCTAAGAATAAATGTTAAATTGTATTTTAAAATATTATGGTTTTGGTAGTGTTTGGTACAGTTTAAAAACTGAGAATATCCTTTTAAGAATCGTATTTAAAGTATAAACTAATCAATAAACGCTCGGAAATCAAGTCGAATGCCACTCACGAAAGATGAAAAGAGGTGAGAGGATGAAAGGTATGTGTCTTTGTTCAGGGGTCTCCTAAACATTTCTAAGCATCGATGTTAAATTGTGTTTTAAAATATTATGATTTTGGTGGTGTTTGGTACAGTTTAAAAAATGAGAATATCTGGAAAAACAAATCCTTTTAAGAATCGTATTTAAAAGTATAAACTAATCAGTAAACGCTCGGAAATCAAGTCGAATGCCATTCACGAAATATGAAAAGAGGAGGGAGGATGAAAGGTATGTGTCTTTGTTCAGGGGTCTCATAAACATTTCTAAGCATCGATGTTAAATTGTGTTTTAAAAAATTTAAAAAATGAGAACATCTGGAAACACAAATCCTTTTAAGAATCGTATTTAAAGTATAAACTAATCAATAAACGCTCGGAAATCAAGTCGAATGCCATTCACGAAAGATGAAAAGAGGAGAGAGGATGAAAGGTGTGTGTCTTTGTTCACGGGTTTCATAAACATTTCGTTGCGAAGACTCAATCTAAATTTTTTCCTGAAGAAAAGCGGCCAGATTTATACCGAAAGCTCCAGAAATATAATCATAAATTCAAGGTTTACTTTTATTCCCTCTCTGGAAAGATCGTGGGACTGGTGCCAAACCTCAAGCATGGACTTGAAATTCCAAGTCTTCGTTAGGCTCTCCTTTGGGATTAAACAAGGTCGGCTTAACGACACAAAGATCGGCTTACCATACGGTAGAGTTGTTTTAACGAAGATGGGCAGCTCTCTGAAAATTTCTTTATTATTCAATGTACAGTTCCAGATCTCGTTCTTGAATTGATTTTCACATTCCTGCAATCCACGTCGGCCTCCTTCCTTCACGATACTCGACAATAATTTGAAAGCCTAGTAAAGAAAAAACACACCAGTTACATAAAGAACGATCAGGAGAGTTAATTATCAAATTTACTGATGACAGGTTTCACTTTCACCAATGACCAATAGAAAACAAAGTGTGATATGTCTAGTTAATGCCCGACTCTTAGCAAGATGACAAATGAGGCCTGGATACTTTACGAGCAATCGGAGTCATCGAGTACCCCACTCGTGTCGTAACAAAACAAAACGCATGATTTGTCAACAACTCTCCATTGTTTACTGAACAAGTTTGCGCCTCTGTTGCGTTCTTTAGCAATAAAACTGAGTTTCATGTCAAATGAGCAAAGTAAAAGACTTAAACAAAAATTATTGTAAGTTGTATGTGGATAAAGCAACAGAGTGAAATTACCTCTTCCCCTTTACTGTTGCTCGCGCTTCTTTCAGTTCTGTTCAAAAAGAATGCAGCAATCAAATATTTGTAAAGGGATCATACGTGTTTTGATTCTTTGAATTATTTGTTTAATTGTGTGTCAAAGCAAACAGCACCTTCGACCTTAAACTGATGACATAAGAACATCTCCAACATATTTCGACAAAGGATTTTCTTCCTGTGATGAAAATGCTCGTAGAGGTGTATCAAAGGTGTTAAAAACAATTTCGTTAAGCGTTCCTACTCAAGCTAAAGACAGATTATAATCCCCTAAGACGACTATAAAAATGACCACGCAATTTGACCCGGGGTTATATACAACTTTTCAACTTAAATCAAACGAGCATATCCTAGTTATGTAATAGTATTACTATAGCGAGCTAATACAGAGCCGAAAGTCTCAACTTTAAGTAGATGTTTCCTCTTTCAAAAAGCGGACTTTCTGGGTATAGTGTATTCGCTAACTAGTTCGTTTTATCGCCTCTACCTCGCTACAATCATTGAACCGTTTACTTCCCAAATATTTCGACATAAGTTTTTTAATTTAATTTAGTTTTTAGACTCTTAATTTACGAATTTTGCGCAAACAAGGTAGCTTTTAAGAAACACGATCTCTGAGAGTGATCTTGACCGCATGGGGCGAAGTTTCTCGATGAACAAATCCGCCACGCTTTGGCAATTACCAAAATAAGGGTTAATTCTTCTTGATAAAACTCACCTGGCAATACACAGTCTTTCCGGTACACAAAGAAATAGAACAAGCCATATTGCTGTAGATAGTTTCATGTTGTCTCTTGTAACCTTGACAGGCAAACTTGGTCCGTGTTAGTTTCTAAGATCAATCAATGCCGAACTTATTCTGTCCTCTTTCAGTCGGGCTGCCAAAAACAAATAACCTCATTAATAAAACACGCTCACAATGGTGCACAAGTCACTTATGCTAAATTTCTCTTAGGTGGGTGTTAGGTGTGAATGTCGGCATCGACGTATGAGGTGCGAGCCTTTTATAGCCAAATCAATATTACAATAGTATTGTTATCTCATTATAATTCATTAAATCTCTGATAATCTTCGACAATTCAGACATGATTTGTTCTATGCTTGGCTGGCTTGTGATGTGATGTTAGCCGGTGGCGAAGTGAATTTCAGCTGCTCCGCATGCCTGTCACTTGCACAACCGAGGAGGTCGATTTTCAGCACTTATCTGAGGTATTCAGTTGGCTAAGCCGTAATTTAAGAAAGCAACTGCGCTGGCAAATTTGCATGAAGCTGATGCATTGGCAAAAAATCTAAAATGCTTTTGAAGGTCTATAAATACCATTTTTTTGTAAATTTGTGCGTTGCAACGAAGCGACGAAAATTGGCGAGCCTCAAAGTCTGCATTCACTGCACACTTGTGAAATAGTAAAAGCCACTTATGGGGAGGTTAAGAATGATGTTTACAGCAAACTGAAAAATTTGAGTGTAATTTGCTCACGGCTGTCTTTTCACTAATATGGAAATATTTGCAATTCTAGCTTTTAGTGCAAAATATATTTTGTAATCGATTCTTGACAGAGTTTGTCCTGAAGTTTATGGGAATTTCAGTAAAATGTGTTAAAGTTAAGTTTTTGCATTTTGCCTTTGTGCTGTATTGCCTGGAATATCAAATACATCGTGCTTCAACCGGTTTATTAAATGACGATCCATTTTCCACTCCTGCTATGTGTTTATCGATCTCTATGCTGGCTAAACTAAAATATGTTATCAAAACTGTGCCGACTAAGAACCCATTTACACCAACGCGTAAACATGTCTTAAGCGCGGTTCAAAATTCTTTTCTTCATAATAGCTGCCTACACTGAAGCTTGTCGGCTTCAAATTTAGCACTTTGAAAAATACAAGTTAATGACCGTTTGGAAATTCAGTTTTTCAGTTCTCTGTCGGTGATTTTCATTCAGTCAAAACCGATAACACATTTTGCTGGTGTGAATGGGGTTTAACCTACTGACTGCCATGAACGAACTGGTGAGCACTACACAAAAATTACATAATTTTACTTCAGAAATACAACAGGAGTTTGAAATAGAAAATTCTATAATCTTACATACCCTAATTTAGTGATAATTGCCTTAACCATCACTATACCAACAGCTTTTTCATTACGTTCCTCTTCACTTTCGCCATTCATAACACGGAAAATAATGATCTGGTGTTGCCCTCGGCCTTCGCAAATTACACTCTTCACGAGCGCCGTAACGGCGTGGAGCTCACAATCAACTGCGCGTCACTGAAAATACTTGAAAATTTTCCAAAACAAAAAACAAAAAAAAGCGAAATTCTTTCCACAGAGTCCTTAAAAGTGATTGTTTCGTTACGATTGTAGATTTGAAGATGCATTCTTTGCGTAGGTAAGCAATTTTGAAATTGGATAAGAATAAGCCTCCAATATGTGGATTTGTTTCAGACATTCTTTAAGCGATATCTCGCTAAACTCTGCTAAAAAGAGACAACAAAGACAGCCGGTGTTCACAGAAAAACAGGTTCCATCTTATGCATACAAAAGTGGGCCGCTAATGATCAGCGGCGCCTTTCATCAAGAGAAGAATATCACTATTAAAATTTTTTAAGTCGCCAATACTAAATAGAAATTTATTGAAACACACTTTCAGCAGAAAACCATTAACTATAGATATAATTTACTTGTCTTGATTTTTAAGTGTTCGGCTCTTAAATCGCAGGAGCTAATTGGAGCTTAAGTAACACCTGCATCCGGCTTTCGTTCATTCGTCCTTTTTCGCCCTAGTTAAAAAGCTTAACAAAGCACTTACGCTGTATTTTATCTCTTTAGAAATGTTAAGTAGATCATCTTTTGGCGTGATATTCAATTATATATTCAAGTCTCATCGAAGTTCGAGTTGAAACGGATGTGATAGAAGTAAGTCAGTATTTGAGGAACGCCATTTACCGAAGGTGTTCCGAATAGGGCCAACGTTTTACAGATATAAACAAAAAAAACTTTAATAATTTACGTGGGCACATAAAACTTTTGCAAAAACTCCGGATACACAAAGTTGACCTTTTACGTGTAAAAACCCTCTTCCAAAAGTAATCAATACAAAATTTTTTCCTTTGATATGTCAACATATTTTCAACAAGATAGGCCATGAGAAAGCAGAAAATATCATGTAGTTGATATAACATCCTTGTGGATAACTGTTGGTGATATTTTCTTATGTGATACAACTAATATAAGAAATATATGGCAAACACTACGGACGACTCGTCGTTTTTAAGGGCCTATGTAGTTGCCAGTCTAGTTCTGAGAAAAATAGGTCTCTGGTAACAGGAAAGAATAAAAACTTTCGCTTCTTGCTCCGATGGAGAAGGAAGGGAAGCCTTAAATATCGAAAAACACTTGACACCACAAATTCTTCAAACCTCAGTTACCATATCTACACGATTAAACGCCGTACACGGAGGCAAAATTAACAATACACGCCGTCCTCGAATAACCACCGTATCCAATCACGGGAACGAAGCACTTTTGCGAGGAATATAAAGAAAAACAACTTCTAGTATGGTACAACTTAGAAAGCAATACTAACCATGGAAACTCCCGTTAAAAGAGCGATACACTGAAACTTTTAACGAGTAGCTATGTCACAGAATATTTACAAATAATTTGCCGTTGTTTAGTTAGAAAAAAACGCCGCCCTCGAATAAACGCCACTCTCCTTAAACGCCGCCTCGGAAACGCTTAAACATTTGATAATTGCCACGGTGTTTAATGGAGTAAATACAATGCTTCTCAGTGAGTTTTCTCCGCCCCTCAAAGAAAATTTTAAACTAACTCCCCAAATCGAAAATTGAAGTCTACCCTTACCAACGTTCCTGTGGAGGAGCACTTCAATATTGCGATGCTTAAATGAAATCTTGCTTAATAGGAACCAAAAATATGGTAGGCTATCGACATTTTTAGATCTACAACCTCGTCGAGCTCGTCAATCGTCGCTATCTTAACTACGATACACAAATATGCGAAGTAATTCGGCATCATCAGAGATTATGAAATTGAAATTGATGAAAATTTGATAAACAGCCATAAAAAATTTCGAGAAGCTGACATATGACTACCATTTATAAAAGTAAATCTTTTAGAATTATTCACTGATAGCATTACCTATTATAGTGGGTCATCAAGGTCGGCAATCTCGAGTTCAAGCTTGCACTTAAATCGCCTTTGGACGCATTCAAATATTTTATACATGTTAACACAGTTGAATCTTGTTACTTAATTACGCGCTCCATTGGAGATAAATTGGTTTTAACAACTGAATTGATACATAAATTAGCCTCTGTAAAAGAATTTCTACAGCTGATGTTTCGAGCGTTAGTACTTCGTCAGAGCTAATAAAGGAATTGTGGGTTGTGTGTGGTTTACATACATAAAGATGGAGCTATGGTGTTGGTGGAAACATTGGGAATAAAGAATAGCGATCTAAAAGACAAGTTCATGTTCAAGAGTTTGCGGCTTTCCAAACTGCCTGGATATAGGGGAAGGCCGCAGACTGCTATTTGTTGCTTAGAATGATTTGAGAGATTAAAGTGCCTAGCAACTGGTTTGTATGCGTCTTTCTCACTCCTTCGGAGGAAGCCTGGGCTTGAAATTCGATGGTTCTTCTCAGTAACAACTCGCCGTCTAGGCTTAAAACGTATGCGTAAGCCTTTCACATACAGGTTTCAAAATCTAATTGTAAGGCACGTGAAATCAATAGTGCGATTAAGTAATAATGCAACGCAGTTTCTTTGAGGGTTAAATCAAAAGGTCGAACATACATACATATGTCAAACATACATGATTTACTGTAAAAAAAAACAAACAAACAACAAACAAATGTTTGTTTACGACGTTAAATCGATAAAAGACTAAGCATGACTAATAACTTTTGCCCAACAGCAGCACCTAGCACGCATGTCTCTGCAAACAATTTTATGTCCGTAAACTTGTCCGTATTTGCTAATCACTCAATAATTTCATAGCCACGAAACATCCATCACAGACTGAATCATCCGCAGCAAGCAATTTTCGGAGCTAAAAGGCGCGCGCACTCTTACAAAGCATTTAGTAACTTTTCCAGATGACCGATTCTTTAAAATTTGTCAAAGGTTACAAAATATTAATTGGGCCGGACGACAAACTTCTCGCGAAGTGGTATGTTATTATTACTTTTTAAATGAAACTTTTAATCACTTATATTGATTTAGAAGCTTTCTAAAATTTTCCTCCTTGGGCAACGAACATAAAAGGAAGCGGGAAGATGATCGATAGTCAAAGATTGATGGAAGCAGACAATCAAACAGACAGAAAATTACTGAATGAATTAACAATTATCAATTTTGTTTCCACAAGTTTCTTAATCGGATGTAATCCATGGGCTATTTTTAAGTGGTTCTGTCGAAAGAAAGATTTAATGAAAGCCATTTGCCTTTAAAAATTGTTCATACGCTGAGTAAAACGATGCTCGCGAGAGGACTGAAATGAGAGTTTGAGGTTCAGTGGGCAGTGCTACAAGATCTTCAATCAAGAAAATCGTTTTACCAGTTGCTGGATAGTGGCAAACACTCTAACATTAAAAAAATCATAACAGTAACATAATGAAAAGTATTTCAACTTTTAATCAACTTGCGAATTCTTTTTGATCCTCCTTCGTATTAGCGGAGCGCGTAGCGTGCATAAAGCATGCGAACAGCGTGGCACCACATCCAAATAATTGATCTACAAACCCACCAAGCCTCAGTCAGTATGTCCTTCCGTTCTTATCACATACTTCTGTGCGACAAGATGAGCAACGCAGGGTATGAAACTTCAACATTGAAATATTTTTTTCTTTCGGACTTGAAGCCTTCAATGAGCAAACTCTAACTAAGATCTTTCCTTATCGTTTCTTCCTTGGAAATCAAGTAGCTGGGCAATTTAAATTGTAGTAAGCTAAAACAATTTTTTGAGAAACGATGAAATGATATTCTATTCCATATTTGAATTCCAAACGTTCTCTGAAACGAGTCAAATCAGATAGTCAGGTACAGATTTACAGGTAGAAAGTAACAGTTTCTATAAATAAAGGTTCTTGTTGAAGTCTTTTAAAAAGCTTAATCCTATAAATCTCATATAAACTAGTCTCCTACTCGAGGATTAAGAAAAACCATTCGAAAATTGTCTTCAAATGCATTAGAAAGTCCACTACGAACTGTACTGCTCAATAACCAGGCTTCTCAAAGAAGACGCACCAAGTCTCGCACCTTTTTGGGCATCTCTTGATGATCTGTTTGAACAATTACGAGCTACCCAAATATGTATTTTTGACTCAAACAATCAGTGTATTTTTTAGTAGTCTAATGGGTGTGTGAATGAGTTGTTTGAATTTTTTAAGCAGGAAGTAGTGACTTTCACATATACATATTTATGAAAACAAACACATGATTTCCGAAGGATGTTGTTTGCCTAGATACAGACTGCAAAAATGTAGTCAAGCCATTGGGTATAGCAGAACTTAATAAAAGCGCAATTAGATTTTAAGGAATTATGACTTTGATATATATATATATTTTGTCGCAAATCCGACTGATTTTTTTTTTTGCTTTTGTAAGCTTGTAGAAAGTGTCGGTATCCAAATGTGTTTCTATACCAAGTAACAATCAATAATGTCCGGAGGTAGTCCAAGTAACCCTTGCCGAGTTAGAAAGGGGTGTTTTTTTTCATTAGACATTGGGAAATATGCGTGAAACCTAAAGAATGAACTTTTTCGCTATTTACCTTTCAGACAAAGTTTCTTTTAATACCACAGTGCGCCAAATTCTGTCTCGCCGCAGGATTTCACTGACCTGGGGTGAAGACCGTTTGAATGTGGTACGTGATAGTCTGTGTGCACTCACGTTCGCAAGAGTACCTCTTGGGCTGAAAATATTACACGTCCAAAACATTTCAGAATTACCAGTCTACGATTAAGGTTTGACTAAGTCTGAGGAAAATTTTTCAGTTAACTAAAAGCTTGAAATCCCGAGATCTTGTCTGACCGCTCTTTTCTTTGCTTAAATTCATACTTGACCCAGCTGTCGAAACTGTACTTGTTGCAATGGAAATCCCACATACGCTGCTGGAAATTTCCAAGTCATTCATCAGAAAAAAACTTGAAAAATAGCTTGCTGTTCAGCTTGGTAATCATTTCAGGTAAAATTCACTTTATGAACACAAATCAGGCCGTCATTTCCCATGTAAACGAAAGATAAATTTTTCCCTATTGAGGGGTCGTATGAGAAGAGAGAGGTGAACTATTTTTAACCCTTTAATTCCCAGAAGTGATTGACTTCTAACTTCTACCTAAAATATCCATACATCATCATGCAAACAGGTATTGAGAAACCTCCAACTTATGGGGTAGTTGTTATCTTGATCTAAAACTAAATTCTCCTAACTGATTTACAAGGAAATGTGTGGCAACTAGAGAGAAGAATTAACAATCAGATCTTAGGAGTTAAGGGTTAAGGTTTGACTTTGTGAAGGCAATTTATTTGCATACAACCCTTTATACAAGAGCAAAAAAATAACAACAAACCTACAGGACTATGAAATTTGCAGCAAGGCCAAATCAGTAAAGGAAAGCGAGTGCTCTCGTCAATTTTGTTAACGATTTTCATTTTCGAACTCCGCGTCGTCATTTGGTGCAAAGGGAAATGGTGATAAGTCTTTCAGTTTAGTTGCCTCTCGGTGACTCAGTTAAAATAACAACAAAAGCAACAACAGCAATAATGACGACAAACTGAATAAAATTAAGGAAAAGTCCTCGACTGTGACTTAAATTCTGCAACCGTTTCTTAAACGCCACTAACAACATTACATTTCATTCGTCTCAACATTCAAAGAGAGTCGGCATCATATGATCCTAAACATAACCATCGTATTCTAATATCAACTTGAGATTGTAAATGAAAATTCAAATTTCTTATTTTCCACTGACCTTTTTCTTCTTAGACAGGTTCTTCAAAACATATAAATAACAGCAACACCGTCTCAAACCGCTAAGCACATCTGTTCATTAGTTATTTATACTCAAGTGCGATCTCGATTCTTCAGCGTCTGCATTTGAGTCGCGCGTGAGAGAGGAATTTAATCTACTTAGTTAATTCAATAAAAATGAGTTCCACGTTGTGGTTTGGCTCGTGTTCTTGATTCATCGCTGAAAGATTGTGGTCCCAATAAAAAGGAGGAAATCGATCAAAACCCCCTTAAACCACTCGATAACGTTCGACAAAAAATATTGTAATGCAAAGATCTTGAATTCATTGTAATATCCCCCAGTATTAGCTTAACAACCACCTTATAAAAATTGCAGTTGTCATCATGCCCCTCTCGGATTAAGTAGCTCCCACCATGATTGACACAAAGAGCACGTGCCATCGAAATTAAATAAAGGAGCCACTTCAAGATTTGTTCAGCCGTCTAAAAAGTTCAAATTTGTGGTTTATAATCCGCGTCTTCACCGTCTTCCTCTTGCTTCTGCAACACAACAATCCATTGTAGGACCAGAGGGTATCTCTGTGCAACTGATTTTCTTCGAGCCCCTCAGTTAAACGTGACTGAATCAGCTTTGAGGTCGATGATATAAGCCGTATAATGCCGGATTTCTGAGTTTAAAGAGACTTTGCATTCCCGAGCGTCTGGATTTAAAAGCAGCCTTTGAGTAATCATTACTACGTGCATTTTCTCATGTTTCCTCCATATGAAACAACGGCAAACTATGATTGCTTGCTCTGACGAAGGGATAACAATCGAAATATCCAGTTTAAGAAACTTCTTACGTTGACCAATTTGTATTTATTATCAACCCAGTTGATAAAACAAAATTATTTCGTATGAACTCTGTTTGCAATTACTTTTACAGTATATGTATCCAATTTATCAGGAGGTTTATAATTCGAGAAATTTCCTTTGACATTAGAATCCAATAGGCTGATCAAGATGGTATAACTTTGAACATTACGTTGTAGCACGTAAGGTATAATTGACAGCTCTAGAATTTGGAGGTGTTTTACCAATTATATAAATTCATTTCTGTGGAATGAACATTTAAAAGGGTTGTAAACTGAACAACGTTATCCATTTTGTGCCTGAGTCTTCCTTTTCTTGAAAATTTCCATAGCAGGAGATCCATGCGACAGCGGACTACTGAAGCAATCTTTCGTCAAAACGTGCCAATCACAGCATTAGAATTCCAGTCAATCACAGTGAGCAGAACAGTTTATAAGGTGAGACGTGCAGAGAAATAGGAAGAGAATGTCCGCAGCAAGCTCCTATGGCAAAAGAAAGCACCTAATGCAGGAGCATACCAAGGATAATTACGTTGGAATGCATCGAGTGACATACAGAAAAAATCCTCCTCGTTTTGCCTTCCCTGTTTACCTGTATTGTGGAATATAAAGTTGGCATCTACTCATAAAGTGTGTCCTACAAAATAACTCAGAAATTGTACACTTATCCGGCAGCTCACCGCATGACCACATGAAGATCATCAATTTTCCATTCAAGAAGATCTGACTAACAATAACCACGAAGTTACTGGATGAATTCCGACGCAACAACACATATTTCTGCTATGGGAGACACGTGGCAGCTAGGCAATTTCACGAGGTCTATCGTGACAAACCGCCTGTAAACTACGAACATGCTGTCTCCATCTGTCTCTGTCTCTGTCACTGTCACCTTCAGTATCCTTGTCACTAACAGTGTCTCTGTCACTATTACTAGAAGTGTGACTGCCACTGTCTCTCACTCTCTATGTTACGGACACTGTCTCACTTACTTTCACTGTCTCTGTCACTGGCACGATCCTTGTCGAGGTCACTGTCTCCTTCAATGTTATTGCGTCTGCCACTGTTACTGTCACTATCTTTGTCACTGACACTATTTCTTTCATCATCAAGGTCAATGTCTCTGTCATTGTCATTTTCAAAACCACCCTTCCTGTCACTCTCTCTGTCACTGTCACTTTCATTCTCATTGTCAAGGTCACTGCCAATGACTCTTCCTGTCAACCTTTCTGTCACTGTCAGCGTCACTATCTCTTTAGTGTAACTGCCACTATCACTATGCCTGTCACTGTCATTACCACTACCACTACCACTACCACTACCACAGCCACTACCACTGCCACGGCCACTGCCACCGCCATAGCCATTGTCACTACCACAACCACTGCAACTGCCACTGTCTCTTTCTCTGCCACTCTCTGTGTCACTTTCACCGTCAACGAGACTGTCACTATCACTGCCACTGTCTCTATCTCTGTCACCGTCTGTGTCACTGTCAATGTCACTTTCACCGTCACTTCCACTGCCTTTGTCAATGTCATTGTCACCACCACTCCTCTATCTCTGTCACAGTCAATAGAGTTGTCACTGCACTGCCACTGTCACTGTCACTGGCTCGGTCGCTGTCACTGTCACTGTCTCCTAATCTTTCAGCGTCACTGTGAATGTCACTTTTTTAACAAAAGGTTATTATCACTTCAGTGCGACTGTCTCCGCTGTATCTATCACGGTCAGCCTCACTGGTTATGTCACTGTCGCTGTCACCGTCTCTTTCTCTTTTAGTTCACTTGAACAGGCAAGGGCCAATTCGAAGAAAACAACAACACGATGCCTCAGCAAATGTTTTACTATAATTTCAGAGAAAGTAAATTCCTACAAGAGCGAAATAATAATAATAATTACAACATAGACAAACTACCTAAAAGCCACTGCAAAACGAAATTAACGAAAACGATGAAAATGAAGCCGCTTACCAAATGCTGAGGATAATTGGGGTTATTAGCTGGGGAAACCGAGAAAAAGAAAAAATCTTCTGCTACGAACACTGTTTCACCAATAGACACGAAAAAACTCTGGTAAATAGAAAGGGGCGAGACAACAAACTATATAACAAAATACCGAAGAGCAAAAAAAAAAAAAGTAAACAGTGACAAGTAAGTGAGAAAACGAAAACAAAGGGAAAATTTGCCTCAACAACACTTTTCTGTCAAGGTAACTGTCTCTATCACAATTTTTTTTTTTTTTTATCTATTTAAAATTTTTTTAAAATTTTTTTAAATTAATTTTTTTAAAACTGAATTAGTGAGCAGCACTCTGCGAACAGTAGTTGTAAAACTTATTTATTCTCCGACGCGTTTCGTCTCACAAGTTTTAGTTTTACAAGTTAAAACTAAACGCCTGTATTTATAAGCTATAGTAAGCGGCTATACGGGGGACAATGACCACAGAGGCTTGGCCGGACATACGAACAGGAACAGGCGAAGTTGTGAAAAAAATGAAAAATTTTGGCTAAAACCGTGGCCCCCAGATATTTTCAATTTTCTTTACAACTTCGCCTGTTCCTGTTCGTATGTCCGGCCAAGCCTCTATGGTCTTTGGCCCCCGTACAGCCGCTTACTATGGCTTATAATAAATTCAGGCCTTTTTAAGTTTTAACTTGTAAACTCCCTGAAGAAGTCTACGAAAGTTAGACGAAATTCGTCGGAGAATAAAGATTTCACCTTCGATGTAACTGTCACTGTCATCAACACTGACACTGGTACTGGCAATGGCAATGGCAATGGCAATGGCAATGGCACTGTCTCTGTCTCTGCAACGGTCGTATGGTTCAAAGCTTATCTGACAAACCAATGGTGTTCTCTCTAAACCCCAATCAATATATTTTGGTGTCCCACAGGGCTCAATACTCAGTCCATCACATCTTTTAGCATCTATTAATGAGTCTCCCATCCGCCGTTCATCAACGAGAAATTACACTTTATGCTGATGACTCTTTGCTTTTCTATAGTGGTAATCCAATCGAAGTAATCGAGTCTTACTTGTCTGCTGACCTAAGCGATATCATAAACTGGCTGGATAGTAACTCTCTGTCTCTTAGTTACTCTAAAACCAAAGTGATGTCTGTAGTAATCCACTGAAGGCTCGAGAGAGAGAAAGCAACTTATTTACATACAACCCTTTATTTAAGAATAAGAGATAACATTTCCTATCATTAAGTCATCATTTGCAACACTAGTACTAGGATATGGGGATGAGTCTAACTTACAGTCTTATTCACTTCTCGGTGACTCAGCTAGAGTGAAAAAACATCAACAATAACCATGCTAAAGTAGAGTGAACATCGTAAGATCCTAGACGTCGTTACCGTTGCATTTTAATGTCAACCTGAGATTGCAAATAGAGCCAAAATTCGTTATTTGCCCCTGACCATTTCGTTACACTGGCTCTTCAAAAATGTAAATAACAGAAACACCACCTCAAACTTCTTAGCACCTCTCTTCCTTCGTTCTTTTACTCAAATATGATCTAGATACTCTTCAGCCTCTAGATGTTTGTCGCACATGAGAGAGGAATTTAATCGTTTTAGTTAATGCAGTAAAATTTCCGTGTTGGGGTTTGACTCACAATCTCGATTCATTGCATGCTAAAAGATTAACATATAAGATCATGAAGGAATTCGATTGAAGCCCTGTTCTACCACTTTGCGATGTCCCAAAAATCTTGAAATGCAAGGATCTTAAATCTATTTCTTAGATTCCCCAGTGCTAATCTAACGGCCGCCTCATAAATTTACTATTGTGGAATTGGGAATTCTGCCATCCTCTATACGATGGGGGTGGCCTAGCTAATGGGGCCTGCGATGCCTAACATGGACAAGAGACCAGCGCGGGACAGGAATTCCGTGTTGGACACTTTTTCCGTCTACGATATGCCCAGGATGCAGCGAATGCACCGCTAGTGGAAGGACTTCATGCAGTCTCTTTTCCTGCATGGCATGTGTCGTCCACGTTTCACTTCTATATAGCAGTTTGCTGATAATACAGGCGTTGTACATTGCTATCTTCGTATTGACGGAGAATTTGGAATTCCCCCACACTCGCGTGGTGAGGCAAACGAATGTGGTTGCTGCTTTTCCAATCTCTCTTTCCAGGGAGAAATTGCTGCTGATAGTGGACCCCATGTATGTGATCTACGGCTTCGAACTTCCAGCTATGGGTTAAATAATTCCCTCAATAGCTAACACAAATAAGTTTAGATTGGTACGCTACAGAATCACTAAATGGAGATTTGATCGAAATTGGGTAAAGGGGCCACTTAAAGGTTCGTGAAGTTCATGTTTGTTGTTAACAATCCGTATCTTGGCCATCTTTCTTTTGCCTCTGCAACAAACCAATTACTGTAGGACTAGAGGGTATATCTCTGTAGTTCATTTTCTTCGAGCCTCTAAATAACAGAAACACCACCTCAAACTTCTTAGCACCTCTCTTCCTTCGTTCTTTTACTCAAATATGATCTAGATACATCTTCAGGCTCTAGATGTTTGTCGCACATGAGAGAGGAATTTAATCTTTTTAGTTAATGCAGTAAAATTTCCGTGTTGGGGTTTGACTCACAATCTCGATTCATTGCATGCTAAAAGATTAACATATAAGTTCATGAAGGAATTCGATTGAAGCCCTGTTCTACCACTTTGCGATGTCCCAAAAATCTTGAAATGCAAGGATCTTAAATCTATTTCTTAGATTCCCCAGTGCTAATCTAACGGCCGCCTCATAAATTTACTATTGTGGAATTGGGAATTCTGCCATCCTCTATACGATGGGGGTGGCCTAGCTAATGGGGCCTGCGATGCCTAACATGGACAAGAGACCAGCGCGGGACAGGAATTCCGTGTTGGACACTTTTTCCGTCTACGATATGCCCAGGATGCAGCGAATGCACCGCTAGTGGAAGGACTTCATGCAGTCTCTTTTCCTGCATGGCATGTGTCGTCCACGTTTCACTTCGATATAGCAGTTTGCTGATAATGCAGGCGTTGTACATTGCTATCTTCGTCTTGACGGAGAATTTGGAATTCTCCCACACTCGCGTGGTGAGGCAAACGAATGTGGTTGCTGCTTTTCCAATCTCTATGTCCAGGGAGAAGTTGCTGCTGATAGTGGACCCCATGTATGTGATCTACGGCTTCGAACTTCCAGCTATGGGTTAAATAATTCCCTCAATAGCTAACACAAATAAGTTTAGATTGGTACGCTACAGAATCACTAAATGGAGATTTGATCGAAATTGGGTAAAGGGGCCACTTAAAGGTTCGTGAAGTTCATGTTTGTTGTTAACAATCCGTATCTTGGCCATCTTTCTTTTGCCTCTGCAACAAACCAATTACTGTAGGACTAGAGGGTATATCTCTGTAGTTCATTTTCTTCGAGCCTCTCAGTTAAACGTGACTGGATCAGTTTTTAGGCTGATGATATGAGCCGTGTTCAAGGAGTCTTACTATTCGGGCTTCCTGTGGAAAGGCCCAAGTTTAAATTCACCCTGCGGTCATCGTCTGTCTTCTTCAGAGGCATTTATGGCGTCTCTGCGCAGACAGTGATTATCAGGCTTCATAAATCATAAACAAGTAACTGTGATTTTAGTCTCATTCTCTTCAGAATGCCTTGAAAAGTGCAGGCTAAGGGGTCTTACACTGGTCGAAAGCATTCAGACTCATAACGAATTATTGCTAAATTAATGTCACTGAAAGCTGGATCGAGCGAGAAGGTAGTGCTGAAGACTTGCGTAAGGACGTTTCTTCTGGTTACCAAGATGGAATTAAAAGATCATCGTTGATCATCTCGGTAACCGAGCGGAGATTTCCACTGAAATGAAAGGAAGGTGAAATTTGCACCGCTAACAGTGCCAGCTATCGCGCTCATATGAAGAGGCTTACGTGTTAATCACTCATAATGGTAAATTTTTCGAAAGAGACAAGATATTTTTCAAAACCATTTTTATTCATTTATTATTCAGTTTTTCCCAGAAGAAAAAGTTTTAAACATGGCCAACACATATTTATCAGATGTGCCTCGTCATTAACTGTTCGATTAAACGAAAATTAATCGATTTTGGTTTCGTTTACAAAAGAGTATACAAATACAACTTTTCTAAAAGATTTTTTTCAACAGATCTTTTGCTGCACCTCTCTAATACTGCACATTTTAATACAAAATTACGAGAGGACAGAGGGATTCTTTAAATAGATATAAGGGAAAGGGTAAAATATTTCTACTAAAATTCTTAACAACAAGCAGTACAGCTTGTTACAAAGTGTGAACTAGTTGTGATACTCTAACGCCATGCGAGCAAATCCCTTCAATTAACAATCTCGTATTGTAACCACATGTACTTCCCTCTTGGAAAGCGGTCGACGTATGCGTTTCTAAGCACTCTAAAGTTCAATAATATTTGGCTATATAGACCTGATAATATAGCGTAAGTCACAAATGTGGGTTCATTGTATCACTAAAATCTACAAGCGATGGATTTAGGAGCCCATCAAGAAGAACCTGACCTAAAAGACTAAACCTCGACGACTTTTTCTCATTAAAATTGCCTTGACCACGTAAGACCAAACGATTAATTTCTCAATTTAAACTTTTGAATGGGTGGACTGTTTTCTTCTCCATGCAGACTGTTACTGTATATTTTTCTGGACTCATTCGCTGCTCTCTCCGGAGTTTCAGGCCACATTTTTTACAAAGCAATCTGCATTGGCGTGTTTTTGTGCCATCATTTCCGCAGACTCTTCCTTTCAAGCCTGGTGAGCCAGTGGTCACATCGTGTACGCAGTAATCAGGCGACGGATCCCAATAAGTGAGTTCTTGCATATTATTTCGTTGGAAAACCCCTCCAATATCGAGCTGCTGTGCCTTGTTCGTCTTGTTGATGGCAGAATGATATTTATTTTTGAGTTCATTTGCGACGTCTTGAAAATTGTAACAATTTCTAGTCACTCTGCCAAGACAATTACGATTATAATTCGTCTTGAAAACCTGTTTGGGTATGAAAAACACTGGTCAGAATAATCAGTGGTATTTAAGAAACAAACCATAGCTAAGTGTCAGGACTGGATGTATTGGAAGCTGATGAGCAATCAATTTTGTAACGTTTGAAAAGTTTCGCCAATATCTACGAGTGTTACGCGGGTGTCATTGCAAGAGAATATGTCAGTAAAGGCGGTGTTTTCTCTAGAAACAAAGGAATGCGGGATTGTGCAGGATTAAAGGATTAAAACAATTGTTTATGCCACTCATTTTGATAACACATCGCCAAGCTGGAACACTATTCTACGCTTCCGGTCCAACAAGAAAGACCCTAATATGTAAAAAAAACACCCATATCCTGTTTAACAGCACACAACCCCTTAGGTCAAATGAATTCCTCCTCCCTACTCCGACACAGAAAATTTCAGTTAACTGGCAATGTGGTCATTGAGTAATTTTTCTCAAACAAAAAGGCAGAAAACTGGATGTAACGCACAGTTTGAAGAGGCGTCGCGTTTCTATCGATTCTTCGAAAAGTATTTAGCATGTAACATGTACATCTTTGTCACTGTCCCACGATCGAAAGAGATAAATAGATAGGTATTTCCGACAATAAAAAGTTGCAGAAAATGATATGTAAGTGGGCAAACAACATTAAATACAGTAAACGAATAAATAAAATACGAAAACATCATTAACCTGTATTCCCACTTTTTTATTGTCTTTGTCGATTGTTCTTCGTTCGTCGTTCCCTTGTCGTTCAGTTGCTAGGAGACTCAGCGTCATCTTCTCGGCAAACAACAGTTTTTCGCTGCATCCACGCGATTGCCGTCTTTTTTTGTTGCAACTACATTCGGTAATTTTGTTTGCATCGCACTTGGAAAGGATTTCTTGAAGGATGCCAGCGGTGGTGATCGCATGTAAAAACGCCGTCTCCTTATTGGCTACAACAGAAAGGGATTGGATGTTTGAGATATAAGTTCAATAGCAAAAGATATTTGAACAAAGGGAATAATACCTATTTTAAATTGGTATTCTCTTGGTGTAAAAAGAATAATAACCAATCGCTGCTTAGATTCACGTTCACGTGACATGTTACTGAGGCAACAATAATGTATTGAACATGGAATGTCGGAAGGCCAAACCACACTGTGTTATTGTTATTAATATTTAGGTCCAAATAAGAAGAAAGAGAAGGATCTGGAAATAGAAGCCTGAAGAAGAACCTTGAATATCTCTGATGTATTGAATCAAGCTCAAAAGAGGCAAGTCACTTTGCCTATGATGCATGAAATAATCATCAGAAAACCTACCGTAAGGCAGAGTTGTAAGAATAAAGTCAGGTAATTCTCCAGTCACGCTTTCGTTATAAAAGCTACAGTCCCAGACCTCGTCCTTAAAAAGCCGTCGGCATTCCTTCAGACCCCTGTTGACTCCGGCTCTCATGATGTTCTTTTTGATGGAAGCATCCTGAGTTTTAAAAAAAAAACTAGATAAGTATAAAACACCTTGGTAATGATATTCGAACAGACGATTAAATAATTCAGTCGCCATTCCTTCCGCCGTAAGGAGACTAACCCTTTTATGATCTCAGTTTTAAATAGATCAGAAATAATAACCTGAAAGCAACAAACCTTTATGGAATTAGCGATGGTTGATCCTGAGTCAGCTCTGCCAAAAAAGGGGAAAACATTATTTTGACTGGGAAAATGTAAACAAATAAACTGAGATTAGATATAGCGACTCCATTTAGCTTAGTCATGCCTAAAACTATCCTCGGTCTCAAAGAAACAAGCCTGGGCAGAAAACTGGCATTGCAATTCGGCATAATTTATCTGAATTGATAATTGCTGATTCGTTGAATTCTGATAACATGAGCATGTGTGACCTACCTTTTGCTTTCTGTGCTTGTGACCATAAGTAAGAAAGCCAATGTGAATATGATTGCTGGGAATATCATCGATAAACTCATCTCTGACATCTCGAAGTTCACTCGAGCACAAATTGTTGTAAAATAATTTCAGCTAAAAAAAGAATAAAAAAATATATAATCAATTCAATAAAAGGGGCGAGAATTCTCTTAAATCCAGTGAACTATGTCCGACAAGACTACGCTTTATGTCTGGAATTTTCAGGTGATTTGGAAGCAAACCTGTGAGGGTCTTCGAGTACAGATTGATTCAATAAATTCGACCTCTAGTTCCTCATATTTCCGTCAAACCTGTTACAAACTTCACGACAGAGTTATCACGTGAGCAGGAAGGCTTTGAAACTAACGAACCAAAAGGTTCAGTGCGAAGAAATCATGATGATAAATGAAAAAGAGCCGAGGTGAGGTTTTTCTCAATCGTGTTAGTGCTCCAGGTCTGGTAAGCGCCTTCAGCTATGTTAATTGCTCAGTATGGTGTTCAGGATGGTTGTTTTTCATTTCTAAAACCCTAAAAGTCAAGCTAAATTAATTTGATCTTTGATAAAGTTTCGTCCAATAGTTTTCTTTCCATGCAGCAAGTCAGAAGACAATATCAATTAAAATTGAAATCAGCTTAACAATAGTATTAACAACATTAAAATGAGTTGTTTTTCAGTTCCATCTGGAATAAAAGCGATCGATAGATCAAATTTCTTGTGTATATTAACTGAAATCTCAAAACTCCATCCTATATTGAGAGTGTCACATATTTTATCCGTCAAACAATGAAACCTTCGTGGAAGTGGGTATGCTTGTCATAAACACTTCAGAAAAAATTGGATTGATAAAAAGTATAAAAGATAAACGAATGTATATAATAACTGACTCTAATGCACTGGATTGTGAAACCACAAATTGCCTTAGTTTTGATTCTTCCCGCAGTTTACGAGGAGAAAAACACATTCAAGTGGACATATCGGTTACACATACTTTGAGGTTAAGTTTAAATTTAGTCAGAACCCGTCACATGCACTCGTTTCGACTGAAGGAGTCTTAGTAAATACTTGACTTTCGATAATAGCGTCAACAAAAATGGTTCAGGTCTATCATTTTCCTCCAAACAATGCCTCGATTCTTGAGCTTACACAAACACTATTGTGCTTTGTCTAGAGCTTGACGGGCTTGTCTCTACCCACGAAGCGGAAAGGTCGGAAGTTCACAAAGTCTGTAGAGCTCTTTATGACTACTGTTGGTTTCACAGTGATCGCTAGCACTGAAGGAAGAGGCATCATACATTTCACCACGAAGTCTACAGACCTCCAGCACGTTCGGTTTAATTGTAGCCACGATTACCTTAACATCCATCTTGAGATACAGATATCACGAGTATTTTTTGGAAAAAAATGACTTAAAGAATCTGTTTGAGGAAAAAAAAATCCATAGGTTCGCTTTCGGCAGGAAACCAGAACAGCCTAATCTTAATAATTTTGTGTTGAGAAGACCAGTTAATTTTTACGTCCTTGTGGTTCCTTTTAAAACCATACCCGTTTCAAGACTGTAATTTTCAAAAACAACAGTCTCTCCAAAACGACTTAAGAGCCACAAGCTCTAAGACGGCGCAGAACTACAGAGCTTATTTTGGATTGCATAGTTTGGATTTCAGCTACAAAGAAATAGGAATTTACCATACATCAGAGTTCCCTGAAGGAGTTACAAAATATTTCGAAAAATTTATGATTGCTTTCCATGCCAACGAATCTAGAATGCTCAAAAAGAGATCGGCAATAATCACGGGGCTGCAATAAGTCAAACTGTAAAACTAAATACCTACCAATATAGGTTGTCAGTGTTTTGATTGGCCTTGCAGTCCGGCTGCAGACACAGTTCCCGAGAGCTCTGCTTCTTCGGACGTCTAGCACACAAAGTTTGTAGAGTCGACAGAGCACTCATTTAAGTAGCAACCCGTGAAAATGACAGGAAGAGATTATTTGGGAATTATTTGTGATTTTTCTTTTGTGGTTAAGCATTATTCATGATTCAAGAGGATATCACAGGATACTTTGTACTTTCCCAAGGACATAACTGACTTTAAGGCACCAAGTTTCTAAATCATAAGCTCCTTTATTCATTTCTGATGCATACGTTAAGCTTTTGCACTGACGTAAAAAAACAACTGTAAATAACAATCGAAGGAGTTAGAAAACACGTCCGAAACTGATACATTCACAACTCTATTATTTTACGTTTGGACAGCGCCAAATGCACACGAATAATTTCATACACACACACCAAACAGTATGACACCCAAGGAAATATTGGTGACCAATTCTTTTCGCTAGTTTTTGATAGCATGTTTGTCACGTTTTCGCATTTTATTCCGTGTGGATAATGACATACAAAGAAATTTCTGCTGAGGCAATTATGGCAAATGCGGATTTCCAAGTCAAAACGTGCGCTCGTCAAGTCAGGAGCAATATATGACGTCTACAAACAGCCAGAAACAGTGGGAAAGAAGGGAGGATCAGAGTTATTCAAACGAGATTAATTGAAAAATAAGGACCAAAGCCAATCATAAATCACTATTTTGATCACGCTGCTGAAACGGCGTTTTCAACGATGAGAAAACTGGCAAACAGAGTAACAACGAAGTGGCAAAGCAAATAATTGCTGTCAAGAGTTAAGCGTAAGGCCAGAATTCGTTTTACAATATCCAAGAAGGAAACACGCACTCTCGTTGATTCATTCTTCACTTATGTAATCGACGACGCAGAAATAAGATTACAAATGGAGAATAGGAGTACTGTTGTGTATCTTGCAGACGCGACGGACGTGATGATAATGTGGTTTTTAAAACGCTTTATTGTATGGGCACTGATTTCAGGGCATGACCTTTTCATCGCTTACTGTACGTAAGGGTCCATGTCAAAAATAGATTTATTAGCAATTATCATGGATGCCGCCAAGCACGATTTCAATTTGATTGAGGCAGTTTTGCCTATTTACTTGATTTCATCGTTATGATTTTATATCTCACCCATACTTAAGTAACCCCAGGCACCAATTAGTAAACGTATGTTGTTGACAGCTTCGTGGGACTAACATTTCCTCTGGAAACGTGCAGATCGCCATAAACATGTTTGTCAACTTCTAATTACGTCAAGAAATACACGAATTGTTAGAACTTGTTTTATTTTTAACTCATACTTTGAAATAATCCTATTGTTCCAAGCCAATTTGTCCACAATGTTTAAGTGGGAAGACTCTTAGCCACCCTAAGTATTTTCTACCTAAATGCTGCGAGTCCAAGGAAAAACATTTCAGGACAATAAACATGTCTTCACCTTACATATGTAAAATTTCTAATGCTATTCTAGAAGAACTTTTTTAAAACTGAAAGATGCCAATTCTCATCAGTAGAAACTGGCTGAAATAAATATTCTCCCCTAGAGTAAGAAAGATGGGAAATTTTGAGCCAGATCAGAAAGAAATAGAGAGCGGGACACAGAAAAACTCGAGGAATCGAACCTTTACCGCTGAGCCACAGAGACTCTATGTTGAGCGAGGCCCACTACGAAGTTCATATGTGACACGCGTCCTGCCATGATACTGCTAGGATCGGCGATATCGATAACGTCATGCTGCAGCTGGCTACAATGCCACGACCACCGGTTACATTTTTGTGCGAAAAATTATGGATATTCACTCGAACTTCTTTCTTCCAAACTTGGTAAAAATGGTCGATTTTTTACCTCAGACACGACAGCGCTATTATAGAAAGAAGACAAAAAGACGAAAACTGACGGTTCATCTCTGATCAAATTCCAACAGAAGCATAATATTTCACATTATGCTTTCCTTTCAGTATGTCAGCAATTTTGCCAGAGGTTTTTACTGTCAGGTTAATTTGATATTATCAACTGAGTTGATAACATAAATTGGCCATCGTGAAGAGTTTAAAAGCTGACGTTTCGAGCGTTACCCCTTCGACCAATCGCTCTGACGAAAGGCTAACGCTCGAAACGTCAGCTTTTAAACTCTTCACGTTGGCCAATTTACGATGTTTTATTCTCCCACCGACGCAGAACCACAGTTTCTTTAGAAACTTTCCCCCTTTATTTATTTTCTTTTTAATGTCACACGTTGGTAATAACGGAGCATGCTTACACGCAGTAATCAATCACTGGAGGGTTAGGAAAAGGACAAAAAAAAAACAAAACAAAACAAAGAGAAAAAATAAAACAACGGAAAGTTTGGGAAATGCGTTTACGCCATATTGATCTGTTTTGAGCTGTACAAGATTTATTAATATATATGAGATAATACTGATATCAAAAAATTTGCCGAATAAAGCACATCAATTTTTCCATCTTTGTCCTTTTTTTAAGAAACAAAAATACAAATCCAATAATTTTTGTTCAGGAATTAGCGCTTATTATGCAAGCAGACCTACTGCATTTATACGCGACTTCGTATATCACAATTAATAAATCCCATCAAAACACATTATGGGTCCCTTTTGATTGAAAATAGAACCAAATAACACCTTGGCTGATCCCAGTCTAAAATTGCAAACTTCATTAAACTTTCTTCAAATTTTTTCGCTTCTTCGAAATGAAAAGAAAACACAAGTGAACGCTTGCTAATTTTTTTTCTTTTTAAGCTGACGACATTTGCCTTAACCGCAAAGGGAACAACTTCGTAGCCAAGAAAAGAAGCTCAACTATCTACGACGTAACGTGGAGAAAGATGCAGCTATTTGTTTGCTGAATTTACAGTCTCGAAGGCCAATTTTTAAACATAAGAATCTCTAAATTTAAATTCTATTTGTCAGTCGGACATCCAGTTCCTAAAGGTCTCTCTGGAGACTGGACTGACTTAACCGCTGAGTGAGCGAACGACAGAACGACGTCATACCCAACTGAGGCCAGGAAAATGTTATAGCTTTCCATACTTTTGGTTTTGTTTCTAGTAGAATCACAATAGGCGTTATCTAATTGTTCCTTTCTTGCAAGCTTTTACTTCATAAATTTCCCCTTCAAGCAGTCGAGGAATTTATTTTTGGCAACTCGTCAAGATTGTTTTTGCTCTACTGAGTCAAGCTGTTAACTGATCGACAGCCGCGCTCAGTAAAGAAACTTATATTCTTTGAGCTTGTTAGATCTTCGTTTAAAGGAATTACATCATCAAGAGACTGATAATTGAATCAATCTAAATAGGAAGAAGGTGTTTATGCCAAGTTCAGGAGCGCGCTTATGCATGACGAAACCTTTTTAGTTATAGAGAAAAGACTACGCGAGTAAGCTACTCATGCAGAAGACCTCTGCAACTTTTTTGAAGGATGTTCCTCCTACATGAGCGGAATTTAATTTTGTTTACGATTATTAGAACATTATAAAATCTTGAAAAGATAGATGATGTCGTGTTTTTTGAGGACACGAGTCAGAGGTTCTGTTACGCCTTTAATGTATGGAATGTATGTATGTTCGCCTCTCTTCCATACATTAAAGGCGTAACAGAACCTCTGACTCGTGTCCTCAAAAAACACGACATCACAGTGGTGAACAAACCACTCATCACCCTTCAACAACAGTTCCCGGCCCCAAAATTTCGACCATCGTTGGAATCGCAAACAAATGTTGTTTATAAAATTCCTTGTGGTGACTGTTCATGGTGTTATATTGGTGAGACTAGCAGGGCCTTCAACACAAGAAAGAAAGAACACCTCAGAAATGTGAAAACCGCGGCAAAAGGCTCAAGAATTGCCAATCACGTCTGGGCCAATAGTCACGCAATAGACTTTGATAATGCATCTATTATTGACAAAGGCGGTTTCAGAACAAGAAAAATACTAGAAGCGTGGCATTCCAAGTTAACTCCCAATGCGGACAACAATTCCTGTCCTTTGCCCGGACAATACAACATTCTTTTTAACAAACATTCTTAGTTATCAGCATTTTTAATTTTTACTTTGTACTTCACACCTAGTATTTTTTACCCTTTTATCATTTTACCCGTTGAAGGCTGTAGCGCAAACAGCCGAAAGTTCGTATTTCTAAAAGTTTTAGCCAGAGATGGTTTTTTAAATTTCATAAGATTATAAAATCTCTTTACACGGCCAAGCAGAATGGCTCTTGCTTGACTTTTTTCTGATAAACGATGTAAGTTAAAAACATTCCCTATGTAGTGCTTCACCTTCATCAGTGCTTCACACACATCGGTCATTTTGCAGCACTTAGGCACTTTAACTAAGATATAGAGATCTACCACATTCCATGTACTTTACTCGCTGAAGTAAAACGCCAGAGTTGAAAGTTAAAAAGTAAAGTGGAAGTTAGAATCCCAAAATTGTTTCCGGTTCCTATGCAAAATTTTAGTTGGCAGGCCATCGATATAAGCTGGTTAAAAACTGATCCCCAATAGTACAATTAATACCTACAATTCAATTCGACATTAAACGTGCACGTTCCAAGGTTTTGGTCTCAATTTTGGTCCCTTTATCTTATTTTTTTATTTTTTGATCTATGATCCGCTGCGACAGGTCTCTGCGAAAAGACACTAGATCCTCGTCAGCGCTACTAAACTAGATTCGTCGTCCACAGGTTAAAACCCAGGGTTCCTTTCAAAACATAAGCTCTATCGCAGGATAATGAAAAATCCCTAAACACGTTCTTCATGTCACAAGAAGTGTATTGTCGAGACAATTTCCTTTTTTAGTGTTTACCCTCTTCGAATAATATAAAATCACTTGTCCGATACGGTAAAAATATGTGGGGGAAAAAACCCAAAACGTTTGAAATGCAGATATCAAAAATAACTTCAGGTAGGGATTTCAAACATCTCTTTCAGATTATATCACAAGTTGAAGAATTATATGGCAGAAGTCGTATGGAGGCGGCACAAAACGTGATGAGTATTTTATTATGGGTTGATTTTTAAACTTTACAATAGACATGCAACAGAGTATATTTTCTCCCCAATAAAAGTTCATTTTCATGGATAACGAGGGTGACATATTCCGTCGATGTGAACGCGTTGGAAGGCTCTTTGCAGCAATTTTTTTGTCATCTGGTTGGAAACCGATTGTTAACATTTTTGGCAAAAAAAAGTGGCGAATTACCAGGCGTGTGCTATGTTAAGTGTAGCACTTCGTAGTGTTAACCCTATCGCCTCTCTCCGTCAATGCTGAAAAATTCTCGTCAAGTTGTCTGTAATTCTTTTCATTATTATTATTTACAGTGCCTCGTGAACATCCTTCAATAAATTCCTTTTTGGCCTCAACAAAACTGAATGAATGAATGAAGGACTTAATTGAAGTATCAACAGTATTTAGCTCGAAGAAAACTAACTGGGGACACTGTTTACGCATTAAAATATACCAAAACTACATAAAGTTAAAATTACACACACTTCAATTTATAATGCATAGAATAGATAGGTAAATAAATAAGTGAATGAAGTATAAGAACTTAGTAAAATAAGCTTAGAAGATATCAGATATAGATAAAATGTATAGCGGCCTGGCAGCATACATAGCAGTTTTTATAATTATTTATTAAGAGTGATAGGTATTTGGTCTTAATACTGTTTTTAAAACTCATTAAATTTGGATTCTCTCCATCACTTTGTTCTAATTTATTCCAAAGATGTGGCCCAAAGTATTGTAAAGAATGTTTTCCTTAGTGTACTGTGCTAAAACGTGCAATATTGAAATCAGCGTTCCTCAGATTATATCGTTTCGGGGCAGTATCAAATATTTCTGTTATGTGAGTGTGCATAAGTCTGTTTTTTTTTTACTTTTTACTGCCAGATTTGTTCAACGCTATGTTGCTAAGCAGTTTCCAACCGATAAGGATCAATAAATCATGCTTTCTTGTCGACCAAAAGTGCCATCGTGTTGAAAAAAGTTCTCGTCTCAGCCAGTCCACATTTTGCTATTTTGCCACGAATTTGATAATAGTAGTAATATTAATGATAATGGTACTGATTTTGATCACAAGAATGATAATGATGATAGAAGTGATGATAAAGGCTGTAATTACAACAACGATAATAATAATAATAATAATAATAATAATAACAATAATAGTAATAGTAGTTGCTGAAATTTATAATAGTGATAGTGAAATCGCTCAAGTTTGAATTATGGAAGCAATGGCTGTTTCAGTAGTAATTGGTGACCTTGGATCAAGAAGGTGGGCACTGAGGAGTTCCCCAGTGAAATTCCTGGAAAGATCAACTTCCAGGAAATCGATAAAATAACTCCTACATAAACAACGTACATTGTCAGAAAGTTATTATCCATAAAGTAATTGGTTGTGTTTTCACTAGGACAATTTTGGCTAGATAAAGTCGGAAAAGTCCGGAAATTCAGTGAAGACAGTTTGTCTTAAGTTTAGCGAGTTCAAAATGCACGCTGTTTTCCCCAGAAAAAAAACAAACGATTATCTAGCCTATATGACCGGAAATTCACGTCAAGTTATTCTAATGTGTCCTGGTGAATACCGCAGCCAATCGCATCGCGCGTAGTGACAGACACTTGCCAAATAACCTGGCAATGCTACCTACCAGATGCTCGTATCGTACCTCAGGTTGCCTCGTGGTTTATCGAAGTTCGAAAAAATGGCTGACGACTTCAATAATGCTTCCCGTTTTCACCGATTTACCATCCCTCCGCCGCAGTTGGATTCGCCAGTTCCTCGGCCAGGACCATACTTATTTCATGGCGCTAGCGTACAGAACCAGTTCAGCCAATAGACCCAATACAGTCAATCGCCACTGCATTCTATGCCACATGTTTCTCCCGTGCCAAGTTCCGAAGCGTGCGGCAGTGCAGCAGCTCAAACGAAGACAGACTGCAGTCAGGATCATCTGGTAACAGAAATCGGTGCCCAAACTGGTCCAAAAACTAGCACAAGAGAGGTCATAAAGAACGCTTCGTCTCCCGCCATTTTTTGAAATGTGCGCGCTTTTGTAATTTGAATCGTCTAAGTCAGCGGGTTACATACTGGGTCAAATTTCCCGGTGAAAACAGATGTCATGTTTAACTAGCAATGTTGGTCTGTAAACAAACACCTAGAAGGTATTTTCAGCTGGTTAATGGACCTGGTAAAAACACAATCAAAGTGAAAGGACACCCTTGGAGTGCCTTGGGACACAGTCGCAGCCGTTGATGTCGGAAGCAGAAACATTAATTGATTATAATACTGACAATCAGTAAATAATCAGTAATAATCAGCGATAACCAGTAATTATAAAAATGATGATAATGATAATGATAACAATATTAGGTGTATCAGTTGTTCACAATTTATATCCAACACCTGGAGGTTTGGAGTAATGCAATGTTTCACTGTGTCCTATCAAGAGGTTTCACGCGAATTCGATTCGTGAATTTTTTAATTAAATTATTGTCATCAGGGAGGTAACTCACCACATCTTAACTGGATTTTGATCTGTGAATTTTAAAAAAGTTCAGTAAAGTTTGATTGAGCTGTAGTTAATATTAATTTGAGTATTAGCTTTAAAAGAAAATAAGGCCCTAATTTGAGGCTTTTTCACATTTTACGTTACTGAGTAGTATATAAATAATACATAGTTAGGTTGCACCATATTATACAGAAATACGAGTTAACTTTGCCCGTTACCTTCCCATAGAATTATTTTTTCAGCAGTAAATTCTAACACGCCTCGAAAAATGTAGCAAAGTGACGCTTCATAAAATGCTGAGATATTACGAGGGCCCTGGTTGGTCAAAAACCTGTTCATTGCACCGTTAAACTTATAGAAATTTTTATCACTTAAATTTTTTATATATAAGAGCAATAGACCGCACTTTTCATCGGTTACCGGCTTAATAACCACTTGAAATGCTGGGAGGACACTCGAAGAGTTTATTAATCACTCGCCTCCGGCTTATGAATCACAAACTTTTTTTGTGCTCGTCCAACATTCCGATACCGATAAAAAACAGTGCGTTTCATTTCTTAAATAAACAATACCAGACTTCCAACTGACACCCCAGATCCATGGTATTGAGATCTGTGAGATGTTGTCCAGTCTCCCCTGGCTTATCTGAAAAGATCTCAGAGTGCAAAGTAAACGTGACCTCAAGCAGCCAATCCATTTATAGCAATGCAGTTTATTGATGCAAAAGTCGCCTTATTCTATCTCGGATAATCAAATATAAACATTTTTTCCTCCGTGATCATCATACATCGTTTGTAACCAAGCTGTTAAGTCTTCTGACTTAATGAATGGGCGATTGCGTCAAATTGGTCAGAAAAGAAAAAATGTTGAGTCCAAGAAACGTTGGGACTGACTCCGGAAGTTTTCGGCGTTTAATTTCGTGACCTTGAGTGACCCAATTTTGCTTTGAGGTAGTTCAGTAACTCAAGCTATCTTCGTTTTCAGCGCAAAAACAACAAATAAAAACGCTAGTTAAAGCAAATGCATGTAAAAATGCATAGAATTCTCTCGAAGGAAAGGGCTTCGTTCGCCAGCTAATGCCCTGTCGGAAGTATCTGATGTTTTTCGAAATGTTAACAGTCATCTAAGTTTCATCAGTCTGGGCCATAGTCACGAATGTCTACGTAATTTTCTTCGAACCTGATTGGTTGATCAAAACATTCTCTAAACCGCGAAAGGAATCTGCGTCAGTCGAGAGACGCGCAACGCTTGAACTTACTGCGCGATTATTAAGATAAGCCTGAGAGATTTTACTCTACAAGAATTCATTTTACTGCTTATCAAGACTGAGATGCTGCAATTCGAGGAGATATTTTTTGAAGGGGTTTGCGTGCGACTGATGAGAGCTTAAGGTGAAACTTTGTAATTGTTGTCAATGTATCGAGAGATCGAAGGGAATATGCTCAAAGAAGACCAATATTTCAATTAAAATGGTTCAAGCGCCAGCGCATTATAAATGGATAAGCACGTCCCTGAATGTCTATTATGAATCTACGTTTCTTTGAAGGAAGATATTTCGGTCTGGTGGTTCGATTATATTTCTAATAGGTTCCATATTCTCTTAGTATTTGCAATTCTAATCGAAAGAGACCTGCCAATCTTCATACGAAATTGAACAGGTAACTCTGTGCACCTCTACCATATATCAATCACAGTTAGTTGAGGATATTGGCTGAAAAACCGAAGTATTCCTCTGTTTCATGTTTTTGTCAGGTTTGCTAAACTTGAGAGGGCCTTGTGAATCTATCAAGGGTCTCCAATGATGGCCTGTAATCATTTCTCTTTGAAATTCACAATTGAAATGTGTGATGAAGATTCTAAAAAACCTGTTTACTTTGTTGGTGTTTTCACGCCTCTTTTTTACACTCGAAGTATAAGATATGAGGTGGTGGGGAAGTGAAAATGGAACCAATAATTCTACCTCCTTAAACTAGAAACTTAGTTCCATTTGAGTGCCATAACATGATAATATCAGGAGTATATTCTTACAAAGTAACAGCACTTTAGATAAGATTTCTTGAAGTTTGAACACAAACATTCACGAAGAATCCAGGGAACTGCAACATGAATTTATTTTAAAAATTAGTATTATTTGGATTTAGATGAAATCTATGTCGAGTTTTGATCCTTTAATGCAAAGCTCAATATGCTATCTAGGATCTTTTAGGACCTCACTCTGCAAGGTCTAGTCCAAAAGTAATCAACTAAAGCAATGCAAATGCTTTGAGATAACCTAGTTTATCGCTTGAGCATTTAAAATAACCATTTTCATTTTCTAAAATAAAAATAAAAACTGATTTATGATGATACACAAAAGTAGTGGTTGGGGATCGTTCAATTTAAACTCCTTCAATAACTGAGTTTCAATAAAATTTTAGTGAAGTACTATTTAGCGAAACTCTCATTTGCCACACAGACCTTTACTGAACTTAACGATAGAAGCTCTCACGATTAGAACTTTAATAATCACGTAGCTATACAGACGCCAAAAACGGTGTAAAGATCTTCCACAAGCCGAGGACCGTTATCGAGAAGCACCTCTTTGTTTTCAGATTGAAATGGAGTTCAAAAACTTCATTTCGAAGTACCGTTCTCTTGTATATCTGAAACGTTCCTGTTTTCGTCATCATATTGCCACACAACTAGCGTCTTTATAGTTTGAAGCAATTTGGTTTTCCATCAGACAGCTAGAGAGTATAAAGTGGAACGATGCATCATCAGTTCGAGCGATAAGTCATATGGCGAAAGTCATTGCTGTATCTTCAAGGGCACAACATGGTGCAAAACGAGGAATTCATAACGAAGAAAAATGCCGCCAAATGCAAGCAAATCTTACGGCGGCTTCGATGGCAAGTTATACTGAGACTGAAAAACGTTTTTACGTACCTTATTTTTCAAAATATATGACACGTGGTCGTAAAGATATTCGCGCTGAAACTGAATCACTCCGAACTTCAAAAGTTCCACCTTTGAATCACTCGCGTAAGTTACAAAGACCTCATATTTTTACACTCTCCTTAATTTGCATTGTTATGCAACAAGCTTCTGAAGGTGCTACTGGACAAGGACACTTCCAGGCGCTGAACTGAGCTAAGAAAGGATCATGTATGGCGTCTCTCAGAGTAGGCGCCATTATGGAATCTTGTTGACGTTACCAAATATCCAGTGTTGGCTTATGCGCGTGCGTTGTCATAGCCATGAACCTAAGCTTCTCAAAACGCAAATTACACCTCAAGTTGCATTGGCTGCGGGCCAGAAGTTAATCCCACCCGGAAGTTGGAGAGTATCAATAACGGCCATCAATACCAAAATTGGACCCACCTTCCTTGATATCTGACAGCACCTCCACACCACTGTCACTTTGAATTAATATGTTTGAATTTCTTATTAACAAATTGTGAGGAGGTATTCGTGTGCCCAACTAATCCTGATCAGCTGCTCAAAGCTATGACTAATCACTTGCCTAAATTTGCTGAGATTATTGACATTTGAGATTATTTTGCACTAAACGGCTCTGGATCTGAAACTTCCCCTATGGATAAGCGTCCTCTATAAAGTAAGTATAATAGATTATGTTCAAGAGATGTTTTAAGGGCAAAGCGTTTTCCTTAAGATGAAGATCACCTATCTAAGGCTTACTACGCGTAGTCTGAAGAAAAAGTAACCATCGGCTAATTGGTGTTATTGGAAAGAGGCTTAAGATGTTTCTTTCCGCTTCATCTAATTCAATCCCCCGTGTGTTCATCCTGCACAGGAACGTCAAATGGCGTAATAGATAATCAGTCGATTGTAAGTGTGAGAGGAACAAACTGCTCAGGTGGGTGTTTTCTGGGAATATTTTTGACGTCACGCATACATTAGGGGGATCTTCAATATGGCGGGCAAATTTGTCATTTGTTATCTTCTGCAGAACTTCGATATGAAATATGAAATATCAGTATGAAAGAGTACCTTTTCCAAAAAAAGTTTGAGTGAGGATAGGGTGTTCAAGAGCTTTATATTTCGAAAGGAAACATAACGCTAGCTGGGTGATTGGTTGGCTTATACTCTTCGGTTGGTAAAGTTTTCGCGGAGATTTCTGAGTGATTCGGAAATAACCTGATCCCGGAGTAAGACGTCTGGACGTCTGGAAGCATATCATGCTTGCTGTTTGCGATGTTTGAAGCCTTCACTGCTTATGATTCGCCTCATCAATCCCTTCAAGTTCTATCCTTAAGCCGAAGAGGATTGTAAATGTTTCCGCGGAACTTTCTGAGTGATTCGGACATGACCTGATCCCAGAGTAGGACGTCTGACTGGAAGCATATCGTGCTTGCTATTTTCGATGTTTGAAGCCTTTAGTCCTTATGATTCGCCTCATCAATCCCTTCAAGCTCTATCCTGGGGCCAAAGAGGATTGTAAACGTTTTCACGGAGCTTTCTGAGTGATTCGGACATGATCCCGGAGTAGGGCGTCTGACTGGAAGCATATCATGCTTGCTTTTTGCGATGTTTGAAGCCTTCAGTGCTTACGATTCGTCTCATCGATCCCTACAAAGTCCATCCATGGGCCAAAGAGGAATTTCGATAAGAAACATTAATGTTGCTGGTTGGCATCAGTGATGAATAGTGGCTAACCTGAAATGTGCTGAACCAGTATTTTCCAATGAGAGGCAAAAAACAAGCCAGTAACAGGAGGATGCAGATACGTAGGAAGGCAAACATACAACACAATCCATCTAAATACAGAAAAAGACTTTGGCACTCACCAATTTACAAAACAAACAAACAAAAGATATACACAGCCTTGGGAATCACTAATTTATGACCCAAGGTCATATAAAAATACAAACTCCGACCAAATTCCGACACGAGCGTCAATGAGACAAAGTGCACACTTGTTGGTTACCAGCAATTTCTAGAACAATCTATGGCCAATTTATAATACAAGCCCAAAAAAACTAACAAAGGAGCTAAAAGAGTGTCCACAAGCCAAAAACTAAGCAGAGAGTGTTCGGCAATCACTATTTTAAAAACACAAAGTGGCAAGCTCTCTTCAAAAGCTTTATAAAACAATCCGAAAAAATAAACACACGCTCGGTACACCACCATTCAATACAATTCCATGAAATTAAAACTTGAAACATAAATAGATTGATGAGCAAATGATTGATGCGATGACCTCAAATAACAACGGGTATAAATTTATGCTGATAGGGAAAAAATTAAAAAACCCTTTCATGAGGTTGATTTGATAAAACGTTGCAAAACAAATCCGGTTTAGTTTTAGTTGGTTTCACACGTTGGTTAACCCACTTTCCCCGAATTGTGATCAATGACATTAGAAAACAAACACGTTCACAAAATAAGAAGCTGTTATAGCACTGAAAATATTAACAACAAAGCTTGACTGTGACAGCAGATTAGTATATAATAGATCAATAGCAGGTTGTCTTAGCCCACTATTTCTTAGCTACCAATTGCCTTCACCCTACTATCGGTCATGGTCTAAATCAGCGATCCTGCTTCAACTTTACTTCAAAATATCATTAGCATCCATAGATGAATTTCATTACCCGTGATTAAAGATTGCATTTAGAGTAAGTTGTTTTCACTAGCAACAAGATTCCACTGGAAAACAATCTATAAATTAGGAAAACGCAGCAGCATCTTAAGATGAAAGGAACTTGTAAATGTAACTATTTCAAAAATGAATTTCTCTTTTCAACATCCAGATATTTTCAAATCAAAGCTAATAAGAAGTAAGGAAAACATCAGATTTATTGAATATCAATCCAAGTTCTCAGAAATCCAACAATGACAAATTCATGACACGCACTCTAGAGAACTAATTTTTGCATCTTGAGAGTAAAATAGATGTATCAATACTCTTGTCCTGGTTCGATCGAAACAAAAAAGGACGTTTAGGTAATTGTTAAATTTTTGTAATTTCTAGAGTTGCACTTTGCATTTCAGTGACAGGAACACCCTTTGAGAATGAGACATAAAACAAATTTCTACATAAGAGTAAAGTGTCTTGTACCATTTGCTGTGTGAAAATTACTCAAGACTGTGCAGCCAATAAACGAAATAAACGAAATTTTGGCAGTGTCTGCGCTCAAATCTTGAAAAGCAATTGGCAAAGAGCTACAATGACAACATCATCACAAAAATTGCATGGATTCTGCCAGTAAACGTTGGACTGTACTGTACTGTTAGTGTTGCTAAAAAGATTTTGACCTCTGTAATTCTGTTGACAACCCTCTTAATAGTCTTTATAAACCCATGCACGTCTCATTTATTTTATTCATAGTATTCAGCAAATATTTTGGGAAACTCGTGATTGCCTACAACAATCATACAGTACAGGATATATATTTGGTTATACGAGCGAAGACCACCGGTGCAAGCATCATTTTGTTTCTCGTTTTTTGAGGTAAATGCGATCAGTACTCGGTCGTGTCCACAGAACTAAACAGTCTTTTTATGTTTAGAGCAGCATGAAATCGACTCCTTGTTACATGCTAAAGATATCTGAACGGATTTGCCAAAAACATCAAATCCCTAACTTAAGTCTCTGCTGTCAAAAGGGAGATGATGTTACAACAGTGATCCCGGTTTCATAGCTACTAAAACCGTACGCTTGCAAGAAAGAAAAGCAACCACGTTCGCCTAAACCGTAACAGAAACTGCCATTTAGTGCAAAATAACATGAAAAAAAAAAGAAAGGAAGAAATGCACGACTTATCTCTGTGGTCATTTTGGGTTTTTTCCTTGGGGTTATGTCTTCGCTCCAAGAATTCGATTGTTCGTAAGCTCGTGTTGCCTGCGAGGCGCAATACCGCATCTGTTGTTCGTCGGGATATCTGTTTCTTCTTGTCGTCGAGGAAGTCACCGGCTAAGTTCCTGATTGTGTCAGGCATTAGTACTTGGCTTTTCATCTAAAGATATTTCAGTTGCTTTGAGTTTATTTAAGACTCATTTGACGTCATCTGCACATTTCATTTTTCCTCGCGTTTGTCTGAGTTCGTGGACCAAGCCGCTAAAAAACTGACGCTCCACAGCTTTTTAAGCGTGAGTCTACCGTGAACAGTGTGTGCATTTTAGTGCGTGTATTCTCGGGCGCTCCAGAAGAAAAAATAATTCCCCACACAAGACATAAGACTCAAAAACACTAAACACTGCTCCTCGGCAGGACTTTGAACTCAAAAAAAAAAAAAAAGCACCAGGGGTGCATGGTTACATAAATTATGCAGCGTGATCTCTTGTCTTATTGCAAATGATGTAATGCTTTCATTAAAGACCCATTTGTGCATTGATAGACCTTATCCCTAATAAGAACACAGGGTCTTAAATCAGTAATTGACAGTTTTAATCAAATAACTAACAGCAATAAAAAAGTTTTAAAAACATTTCATACTTCAGAGGTTTCTTTATGACCCTAAATACTTCAGTCCATAAAACATTGTGATGTATTACCATTGTACCTTACTATAAGCTGAAGAACATAAAATGAAAGTGTTCCACCACTATTTTATCTGTTCAAGATCGTCAACGAGAGCCATCGTCAAAATGTTCTTGGACTCGGCAAATCATTCTCGCAATTTTTATTTACAAAATTCAATTTTCCTAAGACCGTCACTGTATCTCTTTAGTTACTGGAACACTTTCCATTTCTGTCGGACAAGGTTAAAGGCGTAGAATGTAGTGAGAAGTGTAGACAGTCTGCGTCTTCTTAAAAAAAAAGAATAAAGCTGCTCAAATTCAAAAACATTCTTGAAATACCACTTCTATTGAACCTAGTTGAATTCTGAAAAATGTCATGACAAACGAACAGTTTGAACACATTAAACCTGCTTTTTTAGGTAAATATTTTTGGCTTGTTATTCATTGCCAAATAGATTTACATCAGTATTGTATTTCCAATGACATCACGTAGCACATACATTTTCGCACGTGACTGAACGATAATCTCTTTTAGAGACTGATAGAAAGCGATGGGAATTGGTGGAACAAATTGAATTGGAAATCGGTTTTGTGTAGGCGGAAAGATGAAAGATGCCCGAGCATGAACCAGACGCAACAACAGACGTATCCAAAAAAGAATTGGGATTAAATCAGACCAAAGAAACGGATGGATATTTTACCCTATGCCCTGAAGGGCACGTGATTTGTAATCTCTCAATTTTGGTCCCTAATTTTAGGGCACGACCTTTTCATCGCCTTCAGTACCTAAGAGCTTACATCAAAAACAGTGCAATTTGTTAGCAATTATCACGTACGGCATCCAGCACGGTTTTAACTTGGTCAGGGTACCTATATATTTGATTTCAGTCCCATGGTTTTATATCTAATATGTGTTTCCATAACCTCAAGCATCGATAATTAAAGGTATGTCGTTGTTAGAGTTCAGCAACTATTATTTCCTGTGGAGAGATACAGATGTAAAGATCGCTAAACTTGGTTCTCAAGTTCCAAGTACGTCAAGATATGCACAAATTGTCTGAAATGATCTATTATTACCTCATATTTTGGAGTAATCCCATTGTTCCAAACCAATTTGTCGACAATGGTTAAAAGGTAGACTGTCAGCCATCTTTTAATTACATTCTACCTAAATGCCGCACATCCACCGGTAAAAATTTCTAGGATTAAAAATTTGTCGTTATACTACGTCTTTGGAATTTCTGATATTGCTCTTAGTAGACTTTTTTAAAGTAAGAAGTTGCCACATCTTATCAGGAAATACTGGTTAAAAGAAATATTCTCTTAGTTCCACTTAAGTGGAGCTCTTCGTTCAGCTCAGTAAATTACACTCGCAGTAATGGAACAAAGTGCAAAGGGTAGCGATTACAGATCTCATCGCTGATCAAATTGCATCAACGTTCATTGATGCAATTTGATCATCATATTTTTATCTATTTTTGTGCAAAGAGTTATGGATGTTAACTTGCACTTTCTCTTCCGAACTCGAATCCATGAAACTTTTTCTGATATTTTGTGCAATACACACAATACACTTTATTATTACGGCTCCCCTATACGAGGCTATTCTGTCGTAATACAATAATATTTTTATAATAAATTACAATGGGTAAAAGAATATTTACATGTGTTGCGAAGAAAACAGACAAAAAAAATAGTAATAATAATAATAATAATGATAATATTAATGATAATAATAATAATCATGATAATTAACATAATTTCGTATAAAGGTATAAAAGGGTTAAAAGATCCATTTAAGAAGAATTTCTGATAAATTGGGCCACTTTCCTTTTAAAACTTAAAATATCGTTTGTGCTTCGAATGTTTCCTGGAAGGAGGGTATATTCTTTTGCCCCGCGAAAGGCGAAAGAGCGTTGACCAGTTGATAATCTGCATTTAGGTGGGTTTAACGCTATTTAATTGAAGTTTTTGACGGACACTTAACCAACCAAGGGATTTGCACGCCTAGGATTATTCTGCATGCAAAGTTCTGAATGAGTTGGAGCTTAGAAATATTTTGCTGGAGGTATTACCCCAAACAGTAGAACAAAGAGTATTCACGGGAGCAAGAGTTGCTAATCGACTTCGAACGAAAAGGAAGGAAAAGGAAAAATGACGATTTATCAAATTTTAAAATTCTAAAAGACGCAAAATATTTCACAATTTATTTTCCCTATCGCTATATCAGCAATCTTAGCAAAGGCTTTTTCCAATGTCTGCTCGTTGCTTATTACTAAGCATGTTTACGGTAAATAATCAATTATTCAATATTTTCACATAAACTCTCTTTGTGCTCATTTTTGATTCCATTCTTTCTGGAGGAACGCTGGGTGAGAGAATGATAGAACGACCTTTCGCCCAACTGAGGCCGAATAATGTTCTAGTATTCCACTCTTCCACTTTTACCAATGGACTTTTTCTTATCATTCCTTCCGTTAAAGATTTTACTCCATGAATTTCACTTTCAAGAAGTTGAGGAATTTGTTTTTCGCAACTCGTCAAGATTGCTTTTGCTTTACGGGGAGTCAAGCTGTTAGCTTCTGGAGAGCTGTTCTCTTTTAAGCAACTTATATTCTTTGAGCTGCATTGCTTGTCGTTTGAAGGTATTAGATCAATAAGAGACCAGTATTTAAATAAATCTAAATAGGGAAAGAGTTATTATTATCAGTATCATCATTATTAATATGTGAACTCGGTTCAATTCCTTTGCGAGGCGGTATCTCGTAGAAGCAGGAGTTATTGTTCAACCAACAATCTTATCTGGATCAGGGACATTTCTGCCAGTTACCAGGATAAACTTTAAAAATAACATTTCTATCCCAGTAAGTCACATTTCCCACTGAAATCAGAAAGGAAGACCAAATTTGCGTCGTTAACCGTGCCAGCCACCCATCTCAAAGGAAGAGGCCCACTAGTTTATCACTCATTGAAAATAACAGGATTTTACTAACAAAATTTTTCTCAATTTATTAGTCATTTTTTTCCAGAGGAAATAGATTTTTACAAGGTCAACATATCTTCATTAGATGTGCCTGGTCATTAACTGCTCTGCCTGCGTAATATTCAGTGTGATATAAGAATATGCGAGTGTACAGGATTCTTTAAATAGCCATAAGGGACGTGGTAAAAAACATCTTCTAAAATAACAAAGTTTCACATGACAATGTGACACCATTCAAGCAGAAAGATCATATACCTAAAAAAATCCTCCTTTTGAACTAGATGTACTTCCCTCTTGGAAAGCGGTCGAGGAACGCGTTCATTATTCGCTACCCGGCAATATTATAGCAAATATTGCAAGTGTGGATTTACTGATTCACTAAAACCAACGCGAGATACATTTATGAACCTAAACATAAGAGGCCCCTGATTTAAAAGACTAAAGCTCCAAAGGTTTTTCTATTTGCTATTTATTAAGACGGTTCAATATTAGAGAAAAAATTGGAAACGTAGATTTACTGCGCCACTAAAACCTACAAGCGATACGTTTAAGGGCCTGAGAATAAGAGGCCCCTGTTTTAAAAGACTAAAGCTCCTAGGGTTTCTCTCAATAAAATGGCTTTGGCAACACGAAGTGTAACAATACTCATTTATGATGACGGGGAAATGCTTGCTCAACTTTAACATTTGCGCCAGGTTTGACCCTGATGGTTGTGGTGGCGTATTTTCTTTTACACGTAGACTGTTACTGAATATATTTTTGAACTATCTTGGTAGTTGCCTGGACTCCTTCGCTTCTCTGTAGTGGGTGTCATTTTATATCGCTTACAGCGCCATTTGTGTGCTTTTTTCATCCAAATTTAGGCTTTCTTTTAAAAGTAGATCTGATATCCTGCTGCGCCCTGTTGGTCTTGCTAACAGACTGATATTTTTTTTTTAGTTCATTTGCAATTTCTTGGAAAGTCTTACAATTTTTAGGCACTTTACCATGACAACTGCGATAGTTCCTCTTGAAAACCTGTTTGGGTATCAAAAACACGGTAAGAATAATCAGCGGTTACGAAAACAAAACATAGCTAAGTGCTAGGGTTGATTGTCAAGGGAACCCATGAGCAATCTAGATAACGTTTGCAAAAGTCTCACCAAAGTTAGGAGTGTTACGCTGGTGTCATATGTAAGGCAGTTTTTTCTCCCAAAATTTAATATACTCCAAAGAAATGCAGCATTTTGCCACTCATGTTGAAAAGGCACCGTCAAGTTCATACTCTTTTCTGGGATTCAGGTCCAAAAAATCCTTACTTTCCACTACAACTTAACTTAAATATCCTGTATAAGAGCACAAAACCCTTTAGGCAGAAAAAGAGGTTCCTCCTCTCGCTGCCAGCTCTGAGGACTGGATACTAGAGAATGATTTATTCTCTTGCAGGCTATGTGTTCATTTGATAAAATTTCCCCAAGAGAAAAAAGAAAGAGAACCTGATGTGATGCACACCATGACGAGACATTGCGTTTCTATCGATTCCTCGAAAAGTAGGTATATTTAGTATTATTGTCCCTTGGTTGAAAGATATATATAGAATGGTGTTTTAATGAAAAGTGGCAACAAAATTGATAGATATTAAGCGAGAAACTCAAACTAATATACGAATACATAAATTATAAAAAAGTCATTTACCTTTATTCCTTCTTTTTTATGACTTTGGTCAATTTTATTTTGTTCGTCGTTCCCTTGCGTTTTACTTCTTGTGAGAATCTTTGTCTGCTTTACAGCAAAATCCAGGATGGTTTTTTTACAGGCGTGCGATTGCCATGCTGTTTTGTTACAACTGCATTCGGTAATTTTGTTTGCAGCGCACTGAGAAACAATTTCTTGAAGGATGCCAGCGGTGGTGATCGCATGTAAAAACGCCATCTCTCTATTGGCTACAACAGAAAGGGATTGAACGTTTAACAATATAAGCTTATTACCAAAGGACATTTATATTCTATAAATAAATTGGAAAAATCATGATTTTTGTTTGATCAATAATTATTATTATCATTATTGTTATTTCAATTTTGACCATAAAAGGAAAAGGAGAAGGATCTCCGAAATAGAAAAACCTTGATTATCCTTGATGTATTGAGTCATAATTAAACAGAGTCAAATTATTTTGTCAATGATTCCTCGAATGATTACAAGAGCTCCTACCGTAAGGCAAAGTTGTTTGAACAAAGTCAGTTAATTCTCTAGTCACACTTTCGTCATGAAAACTGCAGTTCCAGATGTCGTTCTTAAATAGCCGTTGGCACTCCCTCAGACCCCTGTTAACTCCAGCTCTCGTTATGTTCTTTGTTTTGGAAGCATCCTAAATTTAAAGATGAAAGAAAAAACCAGATAAGAACCACTTTAGCAATGGTATTTCAAGAGAGAATTGAACCATTCCAGTCGCCATTCATTTTGTTGTAAGGAGGCTAACCCTTTTATAACCTGAGTTAGAAATAATAAACTGAGTTAGAAATAATAAACTGAAAGAAACAAACCTTTATGGAAAAAGGAATGGTTGATCCTGGGTCATCTCTGTCGAAAATAAAAAAGAGGAAAACGTCAATTTGACAAGGGCAATTTAAACAAAAAAATGTGAAATTAAATAGTGGGATTTAGTTTTGTCATCGTGGTCATACCTCAATCCTCGGTTTCCATGTAACAAGGAAACAGAAAGCTGGCATCGTAGTACGGCATATCCGAATTAATAAATGGTGATTCCCAACTTACCTTGGGTTTCCTGTGCTTGTAACCATGTGTAAGAAAGTCAAAGTTACTGTGACTGCTGGCAATATCATCAAAAACCTCATCTCTGACATCGAGTACAAATCGTCATAAAAAGTTTCAGCTGAAAAAGAAAAAAAAACATCTAAGCTCTGCAGTGAAAGGGGCGGAAATTCTCTTCGGTCTAGTGGACTTCGTCCAACAATCTTTGATTCCTTACATTAATACGATATTCGATAAAGTTTCGGCCTTTAACTGTTCCTGTCTATGCCTCAGGTCTTAGTAAGGATCTCAGTAATCCATCTTACAGAATGAGTGCCGTCCAGAAAAACACATCAGAAAAATTGGATTGAATGAAAAGCATAAAAGCTAAGAGATTAATGTGATAGTTATATCAAACTTTCACGCATTAGACTGTGAAACCACAAATTGTATTAATTATGATTCTGCCCTTAAGTTACAAGAGGAAAAATTTCATAAAAACAGACATATCGGTTACATTCATCTAGCCTAAGGTTAATTTTAGCATCAGTCAGAAACCAGTTGTATGCACAAGTTTCGGAGGAATGTACTTAGAGTACATCCTTGACTGGCGATAATAGTGTCAAGAACTGTGGTTTATTTGTGTTTTTGTTCTTCCGCAAACATTACTTCGCTTCTTTTAAGCACAAAAACTTTTGTGCTTTGTTCGAAGCTTACGAGCCTGTCTCGACTCACGAAGAGGAAAAGATCTACATATCTCTAGCATGTTCGGTTTCACAACAACGAGTTCCTAAACATCTATCTCGAGACGTTGAAAAGTATTGCTTTGATGTTTGTTTGAAAAAAAGAAAAACGTTTTGCTTTCACTTTCGACAGGAATATAGAACATCCCGCAAAGATTTGGCATTTAGATGGCAAGACAAGTTCACAGAGAGATCTTCAAAAGCTTTAGAAAATTTTGGAATTCGTTTCCAAAGAATTGATCGGCGGTAATCGCTGGATTGCAATAAGTCGAACCGTAAAAGAAAATACCTTACCAGTATGATTTTCAGTATTATGACTGGCCTTGCAGTCCGGCTGCAGAAACAGTTCCGAAGAGCTCTGCTTCTTTGGACATCTAGCACACACAGCTTATGGCGTTAACAGAACACCCATTTAAGTAACAGCACGACAAGCTGACAGGAAGAGATTTCTTGGGATTTATTTCTGATTTTTCTATTGTGGTTTAGCATTACTCATAACTCAAAAGGATATCACAGAATACTTTATTCTTTCCCGTAGATATCACTGACTTTAATGCACTAAGTTTGTAAATCAAAAGCTTCTTTTTCAATTCCTATTCATTTGATATAAGTTAAGCTCTCCCACTGACGTATAAAAAAAACTAATAATAACCAACACAGACTGTCAAAAAACACGTCGGACCCTGATACATTCGAAAACATGATTTTGTTTTGCGTGTGATCAGCGTAAAAAACACACGAATGATTTCACATACATAGACCCAACGAAAATGGCAAGAAAGAAAAGATAGTTGAGCCTTTTTTGTGCTGGTTTTAAAAGCGTGTTCGTCACAGTCTCTCTTTGTATTTCGTGTGGATAATGACATCAAAAAGTATTTCTGCTGAGGTAATTATGGTAAATGCGGATTTCCAATACAAAACGTGCCCCCTGGACGTCTAAAGCAATATGCAAGTTTGACGTCTATAAACAATTACAAACTGCGCCAAATAAAGGAAGGTTGGAGTCATTAAAAGATAGGGACCAAAGCAAATCATAAATCACTATTTTTAGTACGTCACCAAAATGGTGTCAACAAGGAGGAGAAAAAACGGAAAACTGAGTAACAACGAAACTGGAATGCAAATAAATGTTGTTGAGAGCTTGAGTATTTCAGGAACATCTATTCCTGGATGGCAGTTACTCAGTCAGGTTGAAAGGCCTTCAAGCGCAGCTTTAAAAAAAAAATTGCGAGATAAGCTTAAGAGGGAAAAAGGAAGGAAAGCGAACAAAGAAACAGTATCTGTGACGTGAAAGTATTCAGTTTACTTAGGACTCAGAAAAAAGAATAAAGGAAAGTTTAAAGCTAGAAACTACATATTGAAGCTTTCTCCGTTTTTGAAAATTCCATGGTTCCAGATTCTATTCTAGACCAGCTGATCACCCTTTAGAAAAAAGAAAAAAAAATGTCAGCTCACAATTAGTTTATAGAAATTGGATGAATTTGATCGCAGAGTCATTGATCCCATAGGGATCAAAAATCTAATCCGTCAGTTAAAAACCTAAGGCCAGAAGACGTTTCACAGCTTCAAAGAAGAGGAAAAACTCCCTCGCTGATTCTTCATTTATTTAATAAACGACACAGATATAAAATTAGAAAAAAAATTCAGGGAAACACTGATGTGCCTCTTGCAGGCATGACGGACTTGAAGAAAACGTGATTTGCAACATGCTCTATTTTTGGTCACCGATTTTAGGGCACGACCTTATCAACGCCTTCAGCACTTAAGAGTCAATGCGAAAAACAGTTCAATTTATCGGCCATTATCACCTATGCCGTCTAACAAGTTTTCAACTTGGTCGAGGTAGTTGTATTTACTCAGTTTTAGCTTTATGATTTTCAACTTACTTGTCAATAATCTCAAGCATCGATAAGTAAAGGTATGTTGTTTTCACCGTCCAGCGACTATCATTTCCAATGCAAATATACAGATCGCTATAAACTTGTTTATACGTCAAGAAAAACAAGAATTGTCTGAACAAGTTTTATTTTTAACTCATACTTTGAAATAATCTCACTGTTCCAAGCCAATTTTTCCACAATGATTAAAGGGGCATACTTTCGGCCATTTTAATTTCATTCTACCCTGATGCCGCGACCCACGAGAAAACATTTCGGGATAAAAAATGTCTCTTCATTACATCTTTTAAATTTCTAATATTACTTTGAGTGGACTGTTTTTTTTAAGTTAAAACTTGCGACATTGGGTCAGAAGATACTGGCTAAAATAATATTTTATCTCAGTTCGTCTCAAGTGGAGCTCTATGCTCAGCTTTCACAAATTGCAATAATGGTGCAAAGTGGGAAGGGTGGCGATTGAGAAACTGTATCAAATTTTAATTCAACCGTGCCTATATGATCAAATTCCATAATTTAACGTTTAATTGAAAATTAGAGGGAGTGTTGCAAGTGGTTATTATGAAACTATCACCGGTGACTATATTCATTCTTTTGCGAAGAACTATGATTATTAACTTGCATTTTTTCTTCAAAACTCGAATACACCAAACTTTTTTTCCTTTTTTTGCAAACAGTCACGCGAGTAGGAATTGCTAAACGTAACTGATTTTAACTTCAAACAAAACACCTCCATTGAAAGAAAACAAAAGAAAAAACGACGTTTCAACATCTCTGGCCAAACTCTGACAGAAGCTGAAAATTGAATTTTTACATCATACTTTGCTTTCAATAAGTCAGCAATCTTGTCAGAGGCTTTATTCAATGTTCTCATGTTGGTAATAATTAAGCACATTTAAAAGTAATTATTCACTGGAAGGTAAATACTAGGACAGAAAAAAACAAACAAAGAAAGAGACAAAAATAAAACAACGGTAATTGTTTACGTCTTATTGATTTGCTTGCAATAGCTGAGCAAAATTTATACTTAAATGAACTGATAATGATATTTGAATAATCTGTCGAATAAAAAACATCAATTTTTCTTCTCTGTCTTTCTTATTAAAACAAATACAAATCCAATAATTTTCGTTCAGGAATTAGCACTTACTTTGCGATCTTATACTTCCTAATTAATAATTTTACATCGAGAGGTCAGGTCAAGAAACATTCTGGCTTCCTTTTGATTTAATCTGGAACCAAGAAACACCTTGAATGATCTCAGTAAAAAAAAATTAACCATTATTAAACTCTCTTACAATCTAGTCACTCCTTCGCAATAAAAGAAAACACTGAACAAAACGCTAGCTCTTTTTTGTTTGTTTTTTTGTTGCTGATTTAACACCAATTGGGCACATTCACCCTAACCGCAAAGGGGAACAACTTCACCACCATTGAGTTCTTCAATAGGCTGTCTACGAGAAACGTGGATCCGGAGAAAGATTCAGCCATTTATTTGTGTCATTTGCAGTCTCAAACGCCAATTGTTTAATCTATATATAACTGTAAACACTACTTGTCTATCAGACGTGCGGCTCGCACCAAAGATTTTTGTGCAGATTTGACTGACTTTATCATAAACACTCCTCGTGATCATTTTGATTCCATTCTTTATGGAAAATGTCGGGACCCATAAGATCCATCAAAAACACTAATCACTTTACGTGCAAACTTGCACTTATTGTAAAAAGTTATACATTGGTGAAACAGGAAGACGACTAGGTGACCGATTCCGATAATACCTTCGCAACGTAGAAAGAAATGTCAAGACGCATCCAAACCAGTCGCTAGACACTTAAACCTTTCTAATCATTCCAAACAATACATGGCAGTTTGCGGCCTTTCCCTACATCCAGGCAGTTCGGAAAGCCGCAAAACTCTAGAACAAAAATGTATCCTCCAAATCGGCACTCTTAATCCCCAAGGTATCAACGAGCGCTTTTCACTCTACTGATTTATTCTTGTTTTCTCGTCACCATATTCCCACCAATAGCGTAGCTCCATTTTCTGCATATAAACCCACACATTCCAAAATTCCTTCAATCGCTCTGACGAAGGGCTAATGCTCTAAACGTCAGCCTTTAAACTCTTTACGTTATCAACTCAGTTTATAACATTAAATTACCCCGTTTATATTGGTAGCTCCATAAATCTTAGATTTCAACCATTTTAAAAACAAAAGATAGTAGGACAGAGCTTTTAGAACGAACTGATTGATACTATAAACATTTTCAACGGCTAAAATCTGGCAAATGATACTGACTCGTGACGAAAGTGTTGAACAAAACGCATCAAATATCACACTAATTAGCGTTCGGTCAACGTTTTTAATGAAAAACTTTAAAAAAGAAAAAATTGGTTTCTGTTCTTTTATATTTGAGTTTAGAGAGCTTAGGCTTGTTCAAACCTGTAAGAACATTTCAGAGCCAAACTACAGGATTTTATTTGGCGTAATCGGGGATAACAGCACTAGACTACAAGCAGTCCCTCCTCCGGGTCGGAAAAAATCAATGAAGAAAAAAAAATTAAGGCAAGCGCTTCACCCCAAGAGTTCCCGACCGCGCGCTAAAATCTCTTTTTCCTTTTTTAGCTCCGTTTTTCCTTTTTGACCCGCGCGACGGACCTGGCCCAAAAGGAGGGACTGCACGTAATCTATAACAGCACATACTCAGTGAAATTCACGGCGACCGGTGACCCAGTCACATAATTCTATTGCGTACTTTTTCCCACCTAAATAAGGCAGGGATAACGTGAATTTTTGCTCAGAATTCTATCAACCGTGTTTTCGCTTGATGGGAGCAGAGAAATACAGGACTTCAGATCAGCGTGAGGAAATGACCGAGATCCGAAGCAAGTATTCAATGCGTGCATTGACAGCATCACCGACACTGTACAAAAGCCCTGCCACTATGCGTTCTTTTTTCAGCTGTCTAACGCGTGTTTTTAAATAAATTATGGCGAATCTCTGAATAAACAACACCTACCAAAACTGAGAAGCTTTCCAAACCTCTTCCATATCGTACAATTTAGGAATACAAACGATTTCTTGCTGTATATAATGTGTTACGAGGAGCGAGCTTGTCAACTTTTGAAATTTTCGATGTCGCAGGAGATCAAAAAAAGGGTCTCTTGCAGCTTTGATTATTGAGAGCTCTCAAAAATTTTATTTGATGTACTACCAGAAACCAATCTGGTTTTATATACTTACTACCGAAGATAGTTCAAAGCGCAAAGTTTGAGGCAAAATATTTTTGCGATGAGAAACGCCTTAGACCGTTCTTAGAGAGACCGCCATTTAAAGGCTGCTCTGGTTCCAAGTTCCATTACAGGTACAGTTTGCAACTTTTTTATCTAAATCTTATTCTTTTCATTTGTTTTTTAGCGACCGGAACAATCCAGGCGATTTTATCTCTGGGACAGGTCTTTGTGAGAAAGTTCT